AATTGTCCCCCAGTTAGGTATCCAGCGGTACACTGGATGCCTAACTTTCATGTTGTCGAACTTTTGTAGTCTCTGCATCTGGCGTATAATGTGTGTGCGCCTCTTTGTACTCTGGCTGGTTGACTCGTTGAACAACATACAACAAAGACTATGCAAAACTGAGCGATATATGTGACTCACAACCTGGTTAGAGATATAACTCAAGTAGTGACAAAAAATTATTTATTGCACTCCTAATGTCTAACAAGGTTACGACATTTTAGGCGTCTAACTGAAGATTTGAGTCTTGGACATATTTACAGGCTCAACAATTGTCCTCCAACCTCATAATGACTCATGAATTCTTAGCAAAAACTATGTAGAGAAGGAGCAATGTGACATAATGTGACTCACAACCTGGTTAGAGATATAACTCAGACAATGACATAAAATTACTTATTGCATTTTCAATGTATAACAAGAAGACTATGACGTTTTAAACACATATATAATTGGAGATATTCTTGGCTTAGAAAAATCTTGAATGCATATGCACCTGCTATCCCTAACTGTCCCCCAGTTAGGCGCCCAGTGATGCACTGGACGGCTAACTAAAATCTCTCTACTTGTCAAATTACACATAAAATTATTTGATGTTATTCCACCAAGCCCATGTCCCCCATATCACAGTAAATTGGAAGAAGGATAAGAGAATGACGATAATAAGAAGTTAATAATCAATTAACTCATGCAACATTTAGGAATATATTCGTAGTAGTGAGAGGAGATACTTAGCTTAATCGGAAAGTACAATGCTAGCGCCACCGGACCATAGGCGCCCTTATTTCGGCTTAGGCGCCCTACGCCTGTACTGACCTGACGCCTTGGAATTTAATCCACCGTGTTACTCCAAATGCCAAGCCGTTGAAATTTGTGTCATTGAGCCCAACTCATTTTGGCTGTACTTGGGGCGCCTAACCCTTTTCATGCGCCTCTAGTTTAATTCCCGACACCTTTTTGTTGTGATGATTCCCTCTTCAAGTGTTGAATGCATTAAATGCCTCTTTCAAGGCACTCAATCAACTTATGATCCTCTCAAGCTTCACATCACACATAGACATCTATCTAGTGTTATGAGCATTATCCTGGACACAATGCCATATATTCCCCGGCTAAATTTAAGTGCTTTAAAAATGTAACGAGAAAAGTAATTTCCAACAAGGCGTTTTAATTTTAAAGGTGCGGAAGATATTTCCAACCAATATAATGGGGCAGAGAGTAATTCCATTCAAAGGCGCTACACTCGGGTGTAGAGAGTATTTCGGTCCAAGGGCGCAACGTTGAGGCGCGGGGAGTATTTCAATTTATGGGCGCTACACTTGTGCGCGGAGAGTATTTCAATCCAAGGGCGCTATGTTCAGGCGCGGAGAATATTTCAATTTATGGGCGCTACACTTGGGCGCGGAGAGTATTTCGATCCCAGGGCGCTACGTTCAGGCGCGGAGAGTATTTCAATTTACGGGCGCTACACTTGGGCGCGGAGAGTATTTCGATCCCAAGGCGCTACGTTCAGGCGCGGAGAGTATTTCACTTCAACGACGCTACAATCATCACGGAAAGTATCCTACAGAGAACGCTTGAATTCATCAAGTTTTGTGATAAGTAGCAGGCGCCTGATGAATGAAGCACTGGTTGAATGTTGTAGCACGTATTTCACCAAGATGACCATTAATTGAAGTTTTGTATGCCTGTTAGCCTTAATCCTTATCCTCAGTTGTTTTTTTTTTTTTTTTTTATCATCTTTCATCTCTTTTATAATTACGTGGGCACTTTAGGACATGCATGCACTTTAATTACGTGGGCACAAAGTGTATTTTCAACCAACGATGTATTTAGGAGTAGAGAGCCTTTCTAACTATGGACGCATAGATATTTCCACTCACAGGCGCTATATGTGGGCGCCGGGAATATTCCAAAACCAATGGAGTTATACTTGGACGGGGAGAGTAATTTCGTCTAAGAACGCAATATGAATGCAGATGTTTTTAGTGCTTTCATGGCAATGTAAAAGTTATATGAATCATGAAAGATATAAGCAGTATGTAGCCACATCATGACACGACACTTAGGAACATAGTGCGATAGCAGAAAAGAGGCATGTACTTAGCTTGTTTCCTGATAACGAAGCGGTTCAAGACTGATGATCACCAGGCGCCCCAACTCAACGAGGCGGCAAGGCGGCATTCAAATAGGCGAGAAAGCACGCTATGGCGGGCGCCCAACGCAACAAAGCACGCTATGGGGGCGCCCAGCTCAACAGCGTCGAGGTGTCGATAAATTTGAGTGCGACGAGTACTTTGCAAAAACCAAAATATCTGGTGCAAGTAAAATTAAATTTCACAAAGAACAGAAATCGAGTACTTAGCTTTGAAGTGTGCTCTGAAGCCCATGCAAGCAATTCTTAAAAAAGATAGGCGCTCACTTTAAGTTTACAGGTGCAAGCATGTCGTCAAGTTGTTGAAGCATATGCGTTCCTCTCAATAGCAGGCGCCCACAACAATGTGTCAAGGCGCACCGATGACTTTACAAACGCGAACAGTTTCCGACTGTATCTTGATCAATAATAAGCGCCCGCCAAATTGCAACAAGATGTTGGGTTGTTGACGAGTGGTCGACTTCGTTGTCTTCTCTTGGAGAGGTACTGGTTTCGAATCTCACACCCTACTACATTTTAATTTAATCAGTGTGCGCTTGGGCCTTATATGGGCCGGCTGTCTGTCGGGCTCAATGCACAATTTGAACGCCTAGAGAGTCAAATTGACCGGATTGAGAGAGGCGTCGGGCCTCAATGCCATTTTGACTTATGACCAGAACGCTTGGGCTTCCTATGGGCTGTTTGCATCTCGGGCTTCAAAACAACAACAGAGCCCATGTGATTGGGATCATGGGCTGAATTATCTATGGTAATGAGTTAAACGGGCGCCCACAACAACTTCTTGTATGAGTTCCATGGACTTGGAGCAGGGCACCATTATTTTTCTCTTCTTTCTTTTCATTCTTCCTTTATGAGCTATTGCGCTTCTTCCTCTCCATCATGGACGATTCTAGGTTTCCATACCCCCTTTTTTATTATTGTTCCGCCAGCGCCCAAGTGCATTTGCTCTCTATCCCCCCATCACAAGAACTCTCCCGATGACACAATCGAAGTGAAGCTGAAATTAGATGCTCCGCATTTGTACCTACGCGTCGAAACTTTGGGTTTGCCCACTGATATTTCCCTTGATGCTCGGCTCCCCCAATCCTCCCTTTGTAAAGCCAATGACAACGACGAACGTCTCTTTCGGCGTGAAAAAAGACAGGCGCCAAATGGCGGAGATGGGACTGAGGCAACCTAATTTGTCGACAGTTGCGCCTAAGTGCGGCGGCTCAAGTGCTCTGCTGGCTTCCGCTCTCTGCTCGTGTAAGCATCCTTGCCATCCCCTCGTGTCGTTTTTCTTTCTTTTTTTTTTTTTTTTTTTTTTTTTTTTTTTTGGACAGGCGTCCATCTATGAGGCTCCCAGGGAAGTGTCATGTTGAAAGCGCCTCCTCTGCGCCATCGTTCCGATTACGGCGCCTATCACTTGCCCCCCACACGCATAGTTAACAAAGCCGACTCCATGAGCGCTTCGTCTCTCGTAACGGGCGCTTCACCAGCAAAATCCATGTGAAAACTGACAATTGTTTTGTCCAACTAATACGCAACAGAGAACAAAACCGCTTCGATAAGATGAGGATGCGTCGTCACAAACAATGAACGTTCTGCTGTCAGAGAACATGCAAACCAAATTTCTCGGCGCCTTGTAAGCCATTCAAGGGTGGCACAAACCATATGACACCAGCAAACCTCATACTCGGCAATCAAGCTGTACAACTGTCAAACCGCTTATATCCGGCGCCTGTGTACTCCCATTGCCCCCAAATCAGGGCGCCCCTACTCCCTCCTTTAAACGAGGCGCCTTGAACCTCATCTACAACTCGGACATTCTAATCGCTTCCCGAAGGCGCCCGCATCGCATGACCCTTTCTCACCTAAAGTCCTCCACTTCCCGGACGTCTCATCATCACCCTTCATGCTTTCCTCTTCTTCAATAATTAAACCCAAACTCATTGTTACCCCAGGCGCCTCAGATGCTCCTATGGTGGTTCTCTCCCAATTCGTTGACAAAAGGCGCCTCTTCTCACGCTTGTTAAGAAGACGTGCCCCTTCCTGGCGCGCCAATTGTTTCAGCCAAGAAACAAGGGAGCTCCGGATCTGTGAAAGGGTGGGGGTGGCCCCCTTTATCTACACTCCAACGATCAACATTAGTGAGCTTATAAAATAAGAAGAGCAAAGATAGAGAGAGATTGTATAGAGAGATAAGTGATATGTCCAAAAATGAGAAGGAGAGGAGAGATCCCCTTACTTGGAAGACCTATGAGCATATTTATAGGTAGAGTCTTGGGACACTTTGTTGGGCTTTAGTTGGGCTTTTGTGATGTTTCATGGGCTCGGGCCCATATGTGCTCAATGGACTATATTTACTTGTGGGATTGAGTGATGTCATACTTACACCCCCAACAGAAATAAAATAGCGAATCACGATAGTTTGGTTTGGTTGGTTGCATAGAAATAAATAATTATGTAGGTGTATCATTAATTGGTTAATTGGTTTCATTGGTTAGCAGTGTTGAAACCAAACCAAATATGCTAAATTATTTAACCAAACCAAACTAATTATCCAAATTAACCAGTAATATGATTACCACGGTAACCAATCCGTTTTAATGATTACTTAACCACCACCACCTGTCCACAAGTATGAACGAATAGTCGTCTGTTTAGTAGTAAAACCTTTCATTGTTTCCCCGGTCAAAGTCAACACGAGTCGTGAGGACGTCATCATCAGTAGTAGTAGTCTACTACTCTACTCACAGCAGCAGCCAAGAAACTCCCGTCACAACTTCACTGCAACCTCCACTTATCAACCATTTAACATTTCCACTCTAATTTCCTTTCCAAAAAAAAAAAAATTAAAATTAATCCCCTAACTAATTTTCCCTCCATAAATATCCACTCTCATAACATAACCTTCATTTCTCCTCACACCACCACAACAAATCACGCTCCTCAAACTTTCCAATGGCCCAAACCTCCTCCTCCCTGCGCTTCGCCGTCCGCAGGCGCGAACCGGAGCTGGTCCGACCGGCCGGGCCGACCCCGCACGAGTTCAAGCTCCTCTCCGACATTGACGACCAAGAGGGGCTCCGGTTCCACATCCCCGTCATCCAGTTCTACGGCCACGACCCGGCCACGCGCGGCAAGGACCCCGTCGCCGTGATCCGTCACGCGCTGGCGGAGACGCTCGTGCCTTACTACCCCTTCGCCGGCCGGCTCAGGGAAGCCGCGGGCCGGAAGCTCGCGGTGGAGTGTACCGGGGAAGGCGTGCTGTTCATCGAGGCCGACGCCGAAGTCCGGCTGGCGGACTTCGGCGAGCTGCTGCAGCCGCCGTTCCCTTGCCTTGAGGAGCTGCTGTTCGACGTCCCCGGCTCCAACTCCGTCCTCCACTCCCCGCTCTTGCTTATTCAGGTTAATTATTTTTAGTTTTGGTTAATTAATTATTTTTAAATCGCCTTCTTTTGATTTTCAAAAAAAAAAAATTCGCCTTCTTTTATGACAACGTTTGGCCAGGCTAACTGATTTTGCCAAGAAAGGTTATTATGTCGTAACTTGTGAGGAACAAGGAAACGGCCAAACAATTGTGCTTTTATGGTTAAGACTTAAGATGACATATATCTAGTTTTTAAAATTTGATTAAAATATTCGAATTTTATATTATAAACTATATAATAAAAGAAGAGGTAGTGGATATTGGATAAGATACAAAATTTCGGTATGTGAAACTCGTTCATATCATCGTATCATGACATCGTGATACGATGATACAATTGGTCGAGATTTTGTATGATTTTTCATGTTGGGGTTTTGTGTCGAAACACACCATGAAAAAAAATGCATAATGTCTAAATGGATAGGTGAAAATTAAATAGGTGGGGGAAAGTTAAAAAAAAAAAAATCGTGAGTTGTCAATTATTTCCCTTCGTAGTGTTGAAAAAAGCATCTAAAGAAGAAAAAGTAATAAAAAAAAAGATGATGAGTCTAGATCAGGAGAAAATCTGCTTCTTTACCCGAGTTTTCACTTTTCAGTTTTCGCCCCACCACCAAGCTTTTTTTCATGTTCCATGCAATCATAACTGGAAAGTAAGTAATAGGGTATTTTATGGTAAAATCGTGGTTTAATCATAGTTCAACCGTTACCGGTAAATACTACATATCGGTTTAGCCTCTAATACTGGTATTTCGTGGTTGAATCGGTACGGTACAGTTTCATGAACACTGCTTTTTTCCCCTTTCTTTTTTGCATGCTTTCTCAGTTTCTATCGTTTTATCGTATCTGGTCATGCCGTTTTGGATTTTAAATTAACCGCGAAATTTTTGTTTGTGATATTGACAGGTGACGCGCCTCCAGTGCGGCGGCTTCATCTTCGCCCTCCGGCTCAACCACTGCATGAGCGACGCGCCGGGTCTGGTCCAGTTCATGTCCGCCGTCGGCGAGATAGCCCGCGGCGCCTGCGCCCCCTCCGTGGCCCCGGTGTGGGAGAGGCACGTCCTCAACGCGCGCACCCCACCACGCGTGACACGCACGCACCGGGAGTACGAGGAAGTGGTCGACACCAAGGGCACGATCATCCCGCTCGACGACATGGCCCACCGCTCCTTCTTTTTCGGCCGGGGAGAGATGCACGCGCTCCGACGCCACGCGCCGCCGCACCTCCGCGACTCCTGCTCCGGCTTCGAGATCCTCACCGCCTGCCTCTGGAAGTGCCGGACCGCCGCGCTCCGACCCGACCCGGAGGAGGAGATGCGGATCATCTGCATCGTCAACGCGCGCGCCAAGTTTGACCCGCCGCTGCCGACGGGCTACTACGGCAACGCGTTCGCGTTCCCGGCGGCGGTGGCTGCCGCCGGCGACCTCTGCCGGAGCCCGCTCGGGTTCGCATTGGAGCTGGTGAGGAAGGCGAAGGGCGACGTCACGGAGGAGTACATGAGGTCGGTGGCGGACACGATGGCGGTGACGGGGCGGCGGCACTTCACGGTGGTGCGGTCGTACCTGGTGTCGGACGTGACGCGGGCCGGGTTCGACGCGGTGGATTTCGGGTGGGGCAAGGCGGCGTACGGCGGGCCGGCGAAGGGCGGGGTTGGGGCGATTCCCGGAGTGGCGAGCTTTTACATACCGTTCACGAATAAGGAAGGGGAGAAAGGGATTGTTCTGCCGATCTGCTTGCCGGCGGAGGCCATGGAGAGGTTTGTCTCGGAGCTGGAGGCGATGCTGAAGGGAACGCCGGCAGCCGGCGCGACCAAGAAATCGACGTTTGTTTTATCGGCTTTGTAATTAAGGGATTGAAAGTTGGAAGTTAATAGTTAGTTGGAATGTCTTTTACTTCTTTTTCATGAATTGGTTGTTGTGTCATTTTACATTTCCTTTCTTGATTTGCTTGGCTTTTTGTATTATGTGTTCATATAATCTCAATCTCGTTGAATAATCACAAAAGGATTTTCCTAGTAGAAGTAAGTATAGCGAAAGAACTTCTGAATTCTCGCTTTGCTAATTGCTTCGCCTTGCGCTTTTTATCTTGCTAAATCGCTTGTTCGCTAGATGCGCTGACACTATGTACGATTCAATGGGGAAGCAACATGCTTGAACTTCTTCTTCCTTTTCAAAGTTCCTAGAGAAAAAATTAATAAAGAAAGTAAGTACGACTTATGTCGCCTAGATCACCTATTCAACGAAAGGAAACGAACTTTGTTTCACTTTGGGGTTTATGGATTGAAGAAAGTAAGTGTCACGATATAATAAAAATGAAGGTGTGACGCTTTTGCGGAAAAAAATGCTTCTGAAGGCGACGACCCTTTCGGCTTTCCGGCTCTTTACATCATTGAAGTAGCCTACCTTAATAATGTATTGTATAGTAGGGTGTAGGCGAGCCAGAATAACAAAAATGCTTAGGGTAATGGATAAGAGAGCTCTCCCTTTCAGTAGGGTTAATTCAGTAACGAATCCATAATTTTTATATAAGGATATCCTCTTCTAAAATATAAATTATTAAATAAGAAAGTCTCTGATTTAATTTGTCCAAATAACAACAAAACATAGACATGTTTCGTATTTTGGAAAAATTATAAAATACAATTAATTTCTAACAATGCTCTACGTACTAATCTCTCTCGGTATATAATATTAGACAAAGTGAACCCGTAATTGGGTCTAATCTTTAGCTTTTGAAAATAATTGGGATAATAAAAATCTTTTCACTATTATATTTGGACTTAAAATACAAGAACAAATGAGTTGTGGTCTAATGAAAAATACGGTTACTAATAGTAATAGCTACCAAATTTGAAATATGATTTTCCTAAGTTGGATAAAGCACTACAATTCATCGCTACATCGTTCCGGGTCAATCCCCTAGGGGGTCGAACTCCTAATGGTAGAGGTGTTGAGTCGATCGAGCTAGGATGGAACACAACATCGGTCCAAATGATGGAACTAGGGGGTTCAAGCTAAGAGAGCTCTCAACCTGTAATTAGCTAGGGTAGTTTAGGTTAGTCTAGTTAGTTTCTTCTTGATCATTATTCTAAGCTGGCTTGATAATGAAACTTGAGCCGAACTGAGGTACATCTGGCGACCCCTGGTTCGATAATTTTATTACTTGCTTACCTTATACTACACTCGGTCGTTGGTTATACCTGACATTCGATTGAGAAGTTGTAGTTAGAGCGAGTTTAACTTCAAATGGAGGAAAGAGAGAGAATATGAAATTACAAATCATCACATTGAAATACGATAGTTAACTTATCAACCAATTTATTGTTGAATTCAAAAAATAACACACATTTAACTAAAATACAAAATTACAAACAAACTTACAACACCTCAATTTAAATATATACTTTTTCATTAACTAAATTAATTAAAACGAAAATCATTTTATTTCGAGGCCTAAAATTGATCATACTAGATTCACTGATTTTTCCGATATATTAATTAATCTTCAGACAGTATTTCAGCTAGTGGTTAAATAACTATGCAACCAAAATGCCTCCATAGTCCATTCTCGTGGCATCATAAATAAATTATCTTTTGGTTGCTATCTCTGATTGTACTGTTAAAAAAAAGAGGATAATGCGTTGGTAGATTTATGGTCCGTTTTAAGGACAGTAGGATCATGGGCCGTGGGTTGTGGGCCTGGGCTGGCAGTAAATGTCAAATTGTTTTCCCCTTGTTTTCACTTTTTCTCTCTGCAACAAAGCCAAGCCCAAGTCCTTGGCGCTGCTGCTGTTTCTTTCTGCAGTTGCGGCCATTAAAAGAACAAAACGGTGAGCGGAGGTTTACAAACACGGTTCTCAAGTCTCAACAATGGACCAAGGCGGCGCCTCTTTTCTCTTCGCCGGCACCAAATTTAACAAGGTGAAGTTTGCCGGCGTCTTTGCTCGTTTTCAGGTATACCTATAACAACTAGTTCTATTCCCTGCTTTCTTTCTCGGATTCTTTTTTTTGCAACTGTTGTACCAATCGGGAAAATATCCAGGCGAAGACAGCGGGTGAAAATGTTGATCTCGCGGTTGAAGAGGACTCGAGCTTGTTGCCGAATGAAAAGGCTGAAACTGAAGTCGAGCATGTCATGGTCTCTTCTCAGAAGCGGAAGCGGAAGAATTCCTCCGCCGTTGCAGGTTCTATATCTATGTTGCTTTTAACCGCTGTTTCGCCTGTTAGTCTGATGGTGGACGAGTATGTAGCTCCGAGTTTTGGCGAGGCGAGCTTGTTTATGGTGTGATTTGTGATGGTAGGGAGGGTAGAGGGATTCAATGTATTCAAGAGCACCAACGCGGCAGAGACTGTAAGCTCTGATGAACGGAATGCTGAAGATGCTAATGAGGAGGTTTTGAGGGAGAAGAGGAAGGAGTTGAATAAGCAGATTGAGGTTCCTAAACCGATCGCCCTTTTGTCTTGCTTTCTATATTTTTTGGTTTACCATCTTTAGTTTGTAATGGTTTTACAAGTGTCTGAGATTTCTGTTTCGTTGATGATGTTAGAGAGATGCAATTTTGAGGAAGAGCCATTACATCCATGTGTCTGGAAATAGCATCCCATCCCCACTTCATAGTTTTGCAGAGTTGAGTTCCAGGTGTGCTTTCTCTTCCTCTTTTGTTTATTTTGCATCTGTTATTGGGCTTGCTGCATTTGTATCTGTTCTGGATGGCAAATGGTTAGCAACTGAATCTTCTGTTTGAGATTAAAGGAGAAAAAGTTCTGTTAGAGATGGAATTTGGGGCATTGAATGCAATCATACTGTTCTTTTTCATATTGGGGATAGTGGGGTTCTTATGATATATAAATAGAGGATGAAAAGCCGATATACCATGCTATTCTGTTGTTCGCATATCAATTTTTAGTGCTTATTGTAGAAGAGGGGTAGAAGTTGATGATTGTGTTGTTGTTTTTTCATTCTCTTCGCCCTCCTGCCTACTTTCTGTTGCCTCTTGTCCTTGTCTTTCTCTTGTTTCTTCTTGTTTAGTGGGGCTTGTAATCATCTGCTTTCATTATGGTATGGTACTATGTACAAATCTGACGGTTGGAGATGGTTTACTTGTAAATGGTAGGGGCAAGCAGCATCTGAGCCCCAAAATCTGTCATCTGCATCTGTTTATTTATTGTTTCCTCATGGTCTTCAATTGACGTCAAAGTTTGTTGGTCTTCTCGCAGGTATGGATGTGACCCAAACTTGTTAACCAATTTGAAAGAACTTGGCTTCAAGGAACCAACACCAATCCAGAGACAGGCTATACCCGTTATTTTATCTGTATGCGTCTTTATCGTCTCCCATAACTGATTGTCCATTATGCGCTTCTCATGCTGTGAAGGCTCTACGTTGTTCCTTATATAGTGTGGTGTGGTGTTAGGGCCGTGAATGCTTTGCTTGTGCACCAACTGGATCCGGGAAAACTCTGGCTTTTGTGTTTCCCATCCTGATGAAGCTTAAGGTAATATTTAAGGACACTTTGGATTTTACCATTTGCAACTTTTTGTGGCCAAGTTTGTCTGATGACCATCCACGTAATCAGAACCCATCAAAAGATGGCATTAGAGCTCTTATTTTGTGTCCAACTGGAGAGTTGGCTCTTCAAACAACTAGAGAGTGCATGAAGATGGCTGAAGGAAATAAGTTTCGTATTAGGACATTGAAGAAAGAGCATCTGAAGAGTCCAAAGAAGTTGATTTGTGATATATTGATATCCACTCCTCTCCGGTTGAGGATTGCCATCCGCAAGAAAAAGATCGACTTAAGCAGGTGAGTGCTAATTGATCTTGCAGCATCACCTTGTGCTAATTACCTGAGATTGAGATGATAAGATAACTGCTCGAAAATGTATGAGAAAGCGTGGGAATTCGAAGATGATGTTATCTTTTGCCAGGCAATTTTCAATGATTTGACCTGGTTTTGGTTGCTTGGCAACACACTTGTTCTCGCCCCAAGTATTTGTAATCAATTTGGTTTTCTAAAGTTAGCTTGTGTCAGTTCTGTGCCAGGTCATGGCATGATGGAGAGTTTTCACATGTTTGTTGGATTTTTCTTTTGTCCAGGGTTGAGTTTCTTGTTCTGGATGAATCTGATAAGCTTTTTGAGCTTGGCCTGTTGAAGCAGACAGATTGTGTGGTCAAAGCATGCTCCAATCCATCAATTGTACGGTCACTATTCAGTGCTACTTTACCTGATTATATCGAGGACCTTGCACGCTCAGTGATGCACGATGCTGTTCGGGTTATCATTGGCAGGAAGTAATAACATCTATTCTTTTTGACGAAACTGGACATCAGTACATGATTCAGAATTTTGATGGTAGAATTTGTTATGTTTTAATTATGTGAAGGAATACTGCTTCTGAAACAATAAAGCAGAGGCTCATCTATGCTGGAAGTGAGGAGGGGAAACTTATTGCACTTAGACAAAGCTTTGCAGAGGTATGCTTCTTTCGTACTTGTATAATCGCAAGCTCTCTCTGTTATTTTTCTGTCTATGTTTGTTTCTGCTGAAAGATCACTCCCAAGACCTACCTTGTAATGTTATGTCCTGTATCTTGACAGTAGAGTCTGAATGCGCCGGTGTTGATCTTTCTTCAAAGCAAGGAACGTGCAAAAGAATTGTTTGAGGAACTAAGATATGATGACATCAGAGTCAATGTCATCCATTCAGATTTGTCCCAAAAACAGGTAGTTCTTTGTTGCGGCTGATCCGATTATATTTCTAAAGAAGATTTGTCAATCCCATCCCTTTTTTTTACTAAAATTAAAATAACCTATGGGACTCCTTACAGTTACTGTTCTCAAACCAAGGAAACAGCATTCTCAAAATACATTGTTGTTCATCATCCAGCCATTTAAATTCTACTCTTTTCAACATTCCATATATTTTCCAACATTCAAAATCGAAGTAATCCCTTGTGATTGTTGCTGGCTGGCACCCTGTTACTTGCTTATCATGACGTTGTTTTATACATGTCCAATCTCTTGTCAATATGGTCATTGGTTAATGCTTGGTGTAAAACAATCTCCTGTATTTGGAAACAGCGAGAAACTGTTGTAGATGACTTCAGAGCTGGGAAAACATGGGTCCTGATAGCCACAGATGTTGTTGCCCGGGGCATGGATTTCAAAGGAGTCAACTGTGTGATTAATTACGATTTCCCGGACTCCGCTGCAGCATACATTCACAGGATTGGTACGTCTCCCCTACCCATGAGCTCTTTGTGATGAATTTTGAAAGAAGAAAAGCATCATTGATTGTTTAGCAGAATGCCTGAAACTTAGTTGCCTCTGGATCTTGAAAACTTCAAACAGGTCGGACTGGAAGAGCAGGGAGAAGTGGTGAAGCTGTTACTTTGTACACAGAGGAAGACATTCCGCTTCTTCGTAACATCGGTAACTTTATGAAGCAGAAAAATCAAGAGAACAGTGACAGTGCCAGTTCATCTTCAGGCCGGGAGTACGAATTTCCGTACTGGATACTGGATCTGCCTAAACGGAAGTGGAAGAAACACCGTCCTGGTAGAGATGCGATTTTAACCAGCCGAAAAGATTGAAGAAGGATGTTTACCGTGAAGATCCTTGTTCTTCGCCTTGGATTTTTGTTCCCTTGTTCACCATTTTGTTTTGGAAAGATCCTTTATTGTCAATAGCATAGCGGCAATGAATTGTTCACCTAAAGACAGGATTTTGGAGTTCGTTTTTTAGGGTTTAATGTATTTGAGTTACGAGGTTTTCCGTAAAATAGTACATTTTAGGTTTAATCAACAACTGAATTACTATTTGTAGCCCTAAGATTAAAAAAAATCTCATTTGTAGCCGTAAAATGTTGAAATTTACACTAATATCTCGTATTAAAAAATTGTGAACCTTCCTCTTCCAAACACACTCTATTCAACCCACCCTTGCCGGCTAGCATCTCCGGCCATCCAAGCGACCGTCAACGACATGCCACCTTCGCCGGAGGGGAGATCACCATCGTCGCCGGATGGGTGATTGCCACCGTGGAGATGATCATCTCCGGTGAGAACACCGGCAGAGATGAGGGTGGCGATGGCAACCGGAGATGGTGATCGGAGACGGTTGGTAACCGGAAGGATGTGTTGGGAGTATTAGTGTACTTATTTTTTTCAGGCTACAAATAAGCCATATTTAGAGCTATAAATAGCACATCTCTTCAACAAAGTGGTACCATTTTTGGGCTTTTAAGCCGTATTATAGAGAACATATATAATGAGATAAATAATTAAATCTAGAAACCACTTTTTATTCCACTCAACTCTCAGGAATCCCAAGATATAAATAAATATTCTGCAGTAGGATGGAGTACTCACTCCCCTCAATCTAAAGCATAGAGAAAACATCAAACTTGCTGTTCACCGTGATAACAAGCAACTGAGATTCTGAAGCGTACGACTAATCACAGCAAAATGGTGCAAATCTCGTTTCAGGGAAAATACTACTACAAGACGACGATGGACGTGCTTCACAGAGGAAAAAAATCAGACCTGCAAAAAGCTTGCATATTTAGCTCCCAAGAAGAGCCTCTGGATGCAGAGAAGGGCATTCTTGGTGACCTCAGCATTTTCATGGTTCATCAGTTTCATCACCCTTTCCTTCGCCTTGAGGTCCGTGACTATGACACGGCCAGCTGGATGGTACTGGATGAACTGTGACAGGTCGTAGCAAGCAACGGATAGGGCTCGAGCGTCGTTGGACGTGTCCAATATTGTGATCAGCACCCTCAGAATCTGGGGCCAGGTCTCTTATTGTCAGTATAGATTTCGTGGACAACATATGAAGGCCGTGAAATAAGATGGAAGAAGAAGAAAAGCGGAAGTACCTGGAAATCGTTCTCTTCAAAGCTATTGATATTCTCACGCCAGAATATGGTATCTTTGTGCATGGGAGACCAATCTAGATGACCAAGAAGGACCTCTTGCTTGTATTTCTCAAAGGAGCTCAGTTTCTTTATGTTAACCTTGAGCCCTTCTTCGAGCAGGTTGAGGGCCTCCAGGAGGTCCTAAAATATACAGGGGGTTGTAATGATGGTCAAAGAAAGTTGAGGTAGTACAGGAAAATGAATAGGAGATAGAGCATCCAAGGGTGCACATGGTTTGGTCTGATACAAAATCAATTGGCATAAGGCCCAATCCAAACGTGTGGAAACTAGCAGAGTTCAATCAAAAGCGCATCGGAGCGGTTTCAATCAAGAACTCTTTCTACTCTATGTTTAAGAGGACCTATGGAATTGGAACTAAAATGAACTTATATCCTGTCAAGTATGATTTAATCTGAACGTCAATTCAGTTTAATCACATGTGAACGAAATCGTTCCACGCCCCTGCCCCTATCAGCATCTGAAGATGAAGACTAGAAAAGGTTATAAAGGGTCAATTCTCGACTTAACGCTAATCACAATTTGCAGGGACTTCAGGGCTGTTGTTATCGGATCTATAGTTGGAAGGTCCTTTACAGGTAAACAGATTGAGATATGCAATGGAACGGGAAAATTGTACTTCTGTTACCTCATCACTCCATGCTTGGGTTTTCAGACTTTGAACTGTTTGTAGAAGACCAAGGTCCACCATCTGAGCACCAAAAGCGCCTTTGGAAAGCAAGTTCCTAAAAGTCAAAACAATGACACGGACAACCTTGCAAAAGATAAATCAATAAATTGAAGTATTAGACAGACTATTGTAAAAGTTCGGATTAAGTACGAAAATTGCTAATTCTTTTTCAAACATAATAGCATCAAAGTTAAGAGATCAATAAACTAGGGCCAGACAAGGAAAGATTTTGAGTTCATTCATGTGATAACTGCCAAAATACCCAGATTCAAGCCATTGACTATATCTCCCAAAAATATAATTAAGCAAGACAGCAATGCTCATAACATATATTCTGGCTGCAAAGACACATACTATACTAATTGAAAGAAGACACCATTGAGCAGCTAGAACACGGAGAGAGAACATCACTTGAAAAACTACCATAGAGAGAACCAAAAGAAAGAAGAATGAAAGCCTCTACCTTCTCCTTCGTTGAACTCCTCACAACGTCCACGAGTCGTGGTAAGGTTCTAGAAGTAGCCAGGTACTCAATTGCAGGCTCATAGTAAGATAGCAGCCAGATACAAAGGCAGGTTTCATAAAGGAGCTGCAATAAACACAACAATTAGCTACAACTAGAGATGGAATTCAGATACCAAAACTGAAGACTTAAATTTAGAAGAATGAAACCAGCAAATGTAGATAACTATAAGGCCAAACCAATAAGGAGCAGAAGCCATCCAGACCTCTATCACTAATACCTGGATTGATTGTTGGGTGGATGCTGGAGAAATTAAAGGAATCAGTAGTTTCACTCCATCTGCCTGAACAAATGAAGATCTGACGACAGGTTCCTTAAGTAACACTGCAAGGCAACTAACAGCAGATGGAGCGGCACGACTGGGATGCGAAGGTTTCTTCAGCTACAAGAAATTCCATAATAAAAGAGAGAGAAATAGAGCACAACAAATTAAACTGACATAACAATATGATGTCTGAGTAACTTCCTTATCGAAAAACAATATGATGTCTGAGTAATTTGTACTCAACCTGAGCACAAAGCCATTCAACTAGTCCTTTCAGCACATCATCAATGGTGGTCACTTTGCTCTTTGAATTTGAGGCTCCTCCATTTGCGAGAATGCTTTCATGAGTTTTTGGCCTACCACTATACCAAACACCAGAGCAGGTGAGAACGAGATTTATTTGAGTTTTATAAATGAAACTGTTCAAGAACAAATGAACAGTAAAATAAGTACCTTACAACCAAAGCAAGAATCTTGCAGCTCTTTTCTTGAATGAACCAGTTACCTTTCCAGAGCAATCTGAAAGCACATCAATCATAGTTATTTATTTTCAGAACCCTAAATTATATATATAAGATTTCTAATAATTTGAAATGACATAAAATTTCAGAAAGGAGGCCATTGATCATAACAGGCCATACGTAAAGAATTCCTACTCATGCACATTAACAGAGTGAATAAGAAGATGAAAATGGCGTGCCAGAATTCTGAAGCTTCACTGCACTGAATATGAAAGTCTTGGACTAAACTTCCTCAACCCTTATAATTTAATTTGCCACCCCCCTCACACAGCGTCAAAATATAATTAGTGAATGCTTTCAAGAATACAAATGTATGACAGTACCTTAGGAAGGGCTCATAAGTATCCTCATTTGCAAGAGACTTGTCATGGAACAATCTGGCCCTTTTGGGATTTGCTGCTAATTGGAATTTACATAAGTACCGTTTTCATAAAAAGAAGTGGAACAAGGGGAAGATAACCCGAGATAATAAAAAGGAGGGTGTCCAACTACCTGTTAGCATTTCATCAATCAAAGCCAGAATATATTCAACAGTTTCTTCTTTGAATATATCACGCAGAATGTTAACAAACACCCGAATGTATGCTACACCATCCTGCGAAGTTCAAGAGCATATTCAGGCTAGTCAGCAATATTATAGTCACTTAAATCAACCATCACTTCCACCAGATGACACTAAGTCACCGTAATCGTATATGCAAATGTGCCATATATAGAGAAGGTCTAGTTCTCTCTTGACTTATGAAACTAGTCGTAAAGGTCCCTAAAAGGTATTCCATCATTTTTTACATCACATGCGTCAACCACTTGAGCATTTGGAAAAGAAGAAGAAGCTTCAGCAAGAAGCACCCAGGAAACTTGCATGTAAGAAATCGGGAAGACTAAAAACTGTACACGGAGCAATATGACCACAGAAGATCAATTAGAACCTTACATCATCTAGCAATTGCGCTCTATAACTTTCAGCCTTGTTGTCATAGCGCCTCAACAGCTGAAGGTCTGACCCAGTTATCAGCTTCGTCATCATGTACGTCTCCCATGGAATATCCCTCTTTAGAACCTATATATTAGACGGGAAACACACAGGTCAAAGAACGCAATTTGAATTATGAACACGCTACTACACGTTAGAGAAAGGAAACGACATTTCACTGGAGAAAATAATCAGAATTCAGAACGAATAAATTCTCTTGGATGTTAGAAACTGATTTCAGTACATGAAAATAGCTCCCATATAAACAATGACATTAGGGGAGAAAAAAAAAAAAGAACAACAGGATGCTTCACACTCATTAGTCACACTTCCTCTGCTCCCAGAAACAGTCAGAATTGCCAATCAATAAAGGACAGAACTTCATACAAGTTAATCATGCCGGATCAGAGTAGGCTTTTCCTGAGACTCATCTGCTGACATCTATTGCCTCAACCAGTAAATATTCAGCCTAAAGATATCTACCATCAGGTCCACCGCATAAACAATTTTCAAACTTCGAACCGCTAGCTAATTCTTTCATCTCCGTTTCAAAACCAATCTTGATCTGCTTTCACCTCCTCATCTGCCTTCTAATAAGCAGGATTAAGGGAACAGGCACTGAGAGTTCAATCAAAACACCAATGATGGACAGACCGAAAAGCAAAGGAAAGAGAGAAACCAACCTGCTCAGTGGTCAGCTCGGCATGGTCCATTGCAGTAGTTCCCACCGCTCAAAAAATGTAACACGGATTCGAAGTTTCGAACCTGGAATTCAGACAAGAAGGAGAAGAATCAAAATAGAACCGGATCACACAACGGATCGAAGGGCCGTGGATCTTGGCCTTTTCCAGTTAGAAGGCGAAATTAGAGGGGGAAAAAATTGAGACGAATCAGAATTACAACTTGAGATCGATCTCCAATCCAAATAACAATGGCGCAAAGAGCACAGCGCGATCGAAGGGGACGAAGAAGAATGAAAGTTTGTGGCGATCTGTGAGCGAGAGACGAGCGAGGTTGAGTAAGGACGAACGGTAGCGCACCTGTTTTCTTCGTCGGCTTTTCAGTTTTCCCGGTGAATCTTCACTCTCCTTCGATCAAGTGTCTTTCTTTCTCTCCTCAATCATAGAAGTGGTTTCTGAGCCTGTGGACAAAGAGAGAGCAAAGCGAGAGATTGGATTGGGGAGGGTAGTAATTAACTGCTCTGTACCTACGTGTTTCTGCTAACGCCTCTCGATGACTCCATCTATGCCTTCCACGTGTATGGTAGTAGATGGCTGGTTTTTGTTGATATCTTTAAAGTTCAATGTTAAATATAGGGTAAATTATAAGGTTGGTCACTCGGAGTAAAAAAAAATCCACGTTTAGTCAATAAAATTAGTTCTTCTATTCAAGGTCAATAAAATTAGTTCTTCTATTCATATTTGATCACTTTTCGTTAGTCTTTGTTTAGTTTAGTTGATGTGGTAGTCAACTTTGATACTTAACCGTTAAATGAGTGATGTGGCGATCAAAAAATAAAAAAATTTGAAACTTTTATAATTTCCACCTCATTATTTTTATGAATCATTTTATGTTATATCATAAAAAAAAATTGTTGACAACAACCCTCCGCCGGGCACTACCTGCTTTGTTGGTCTTCCTCTACCGCCCAAATCCTCTTTGCCTATGGCCAGACTGTCGAGGCACTGTATTTTTCCTCCAAATAACCACATCCTAGATCTAACTTTTGAAATGGAGGCACGACCGGGCAAGAGGGTGTGTTGGCCCGCCCTCCAGCATAGGGCCTCCGAAAATTATGGTCTCCACATAAATTCGTTAGTTATCGATTGTATATTGTAGGTTAAATTTTTAGTGTATGATTGATTGATTATGAGTATGTTGACGAGTTTAATAGATAATTTTAGCTATAATAACAATTGAAAATGATCTCATGGAGAATACGAAAATCAGAGAGATAATAGATGATTTTATTTTAAACAATATAGAAAGATATTACATTTTGAATAATGATATTATAATCATTTTAGTTCTATTATAGTTAAAACTTAATTTGGACCACGTCTCGAGTTTAAACAGGGCCTCCACGATCCATTAGACTGTCTCGCACCCACCTCGATCAATTAGACTATTTTCGTTTCTCCATTCCATTTTTGCGCTATATTCATTTTCTCTTCCCTCCATATTTACTTTCCTCCATACTAGGACTGGGAATTGGGTCTTGGTTTCTTGGTCAAATTGAAAACGAGATCGTTTATTTCTTTTGCAATCATTTTTCTGAACTTGTGTATTTTTTTCTAATTAATTTAGTTATTTTTATTTTTAATAAATTTATGGAGAAATTTTTTTAGGGGCCACACTTTAAATTTTTGAACGAGACCTCCAAATATCATGGGACGGCCCTAAATGGAGGATATCGCCTTTGTGTCGAGCGCATATGTTTTTTGGGCAATCGTGATCATCGTTAGAGAAGGGACTGTTGCTGCCGGGAATTTGGGCAACCCATATCATCGTTGGAGAAGGGGCTTTTGAGATGACGAATATTGTCTAGATCATCGACTGTTGCCGCCGTATATGACGGTTGGGATTTTGGACTGCTACTACTGTCGCCGCATCGGGAATGGAAGGAGGGAAGATTGACGGTTAAACGACAGAGTAAATAGGGAGAAAAGGTCGGGCGGGAGGTCGAGTGGGTTTTTTTAGGTCGGCCGACCAAGGGTCGGTTGACGAGTTGAGTTGAGTTTAATAACGTGTCAAATTGAATTTTGAGTTTTTCAGGTTAAAATTAGTTGACTGGACTTTCTATTAGTCATGTTAACAAAAAGCTGACGGTGTTAACGGAGTCTGACGGAGACTAACGAAGAGTAACTAAACGTGAACTGTTTAACACATATTAGTGACCACGAATGAATAAAAAAATTTACTAATCAAACGTGAAAATTTTTAGTAATGCCAATGATCAAATTTGCCATTTACCCAATTTTAAATGAATGATTTGAGTTCTAAATCTCTCAAAATCGGAAAAAATCCCAAAGTACACTAGTTCTTAAAAAAATTCCCAAAATACACAAGTTATAAAAAAATTTCCCAAAAGTACACATGTTTCACATTCACAGTTTTTGACAAACGCAGTGAATATAATCATCGCGTTTGACAAAGACGGTGAATATTTCACCGTTTTAATTAAAACGATGACGTGTTCACTGTAACAAAAACGGTGAATACATCGTCGTTTAAACTAAAAGCGGTGAAAACGTCACCGTTTTAGGGCAAAGCGGGAAACATCTTCACCGCCCCAGGCTAAGGCGGTGATTGTTTCCCACATTTTCCACCCCTGGTAGGTGAAAATTAGGTCAAAACCACATAATCTTCACCGTTTGAGACAGACGCGGTAATGTTGTTCACCGTTTGTGACAAAAACGGTGAAGTCTTGTCCAATTTTCCTTTATATACAACTCTCACCAGCAGTTGTAAAAACGTAATCCCTCCCCCTCTTCAAATTTCAGCAACCAAAACCGAGCAACATACACAGAACATGAATTTTCGGTATGATTTAATTTTCACATTGTAGCCTAATGTTTGTTTTTAGTAGTTATATTGTTATGTTATGAATTACTTATCGTAGCAAATATGGCCGATGTTATGAATTACTGGAATTATGCTAATAGTTACTTATTGTAAATTGTAGATATGGGTAAATTCAAGAAGTTTCATCTTATTATTCGGTGGAATGGAAGGGTTACAAACTCTGACACAGGGATTGATTATGAGGACGGTGTATCCACTATGTTGAAAATTGAGTCGCGATTCAATTTTCAAGAACTCTGTGATATTTGTGCAGACAGGGTTTGTACGAGCGCACAGACGAGACTTGGTAAAATTAGTTACCGGTATCCATGTATGAGTACTGGCGGGCTTGTGTACCAAGAAGTTGTCATAAACGATGATGGCGCGGTTACGATGATGTTACAGTTCCTAAGCGATAACGGGATGTGGCAAGCAGAGGTGTATGTTGAGACCGAGGCGGTCGGTGAAACTCATTCTCACCAGTATTCTTATGATGATGGTTTTGCAGGAGGGTACGGATGGGGTGGTAGTTCGAGCAACTACGAAGGAGGTGGTTATACAGGAGGTTACAGATGGTGGAGGTAGTAGTGCAGGATGGGTGCCATTGGAAGAATACTCGCAACAGGATCAACCTGCCGATGGCGTTCAATGGCCTGCTTGGGGGCCTGAGTGGGCTGAAATCGAGAATACATTCGAGCATGGCGTACTTCACATGAGCGAGAAGACGATGTTGGTGATGGTGGTCATGTTGATCCTTCTGGGCCGAGCTATCCATTCGACTCGAGCGACGATGATACTGAGAAAGATTTGAGATAAGTGAGCGAGGAGGAAGATACTGATGATAACGACGACGAGGCGGTATTCCGTGAGGCACCGACGCCATACTACACACATGTTCCAACTCAATTTTTACATAGTCAGAATGATGCCCCCGACTTTGTCCCTATGCCAGTGTATAATCCGACGGCCAATTTGTAAGTAAAAGAACATAATAAATTTAATTGAAATATAGCTTAGCATGGAATGAATTTAAATTAGGCTAAGTACAGAATAAATTTAAATTAAATATAGGCAAGCATGGAATAAATATAAATTAGGCTAAGTACGGAATAAACTTGACTTAAATATAGCTAAGCTAAGCATGGAATAAATATAAATTAGGCTAAGTACGGAATAAACTTAATTTAAATATAGCTAAGCATGGAATAAATATAAATTAGGCTAAGTACGAAATAAATTTAATTGAAATATAGCTAAGCATTGGAATAAATTTAAATTAGGTTAAGTACAGAATAAACTTACTTGACACTGTAGGGGGAATTTTGCACAAAGTGTAGCTCATCATCTGCTCTCCGATATGGACGTGGGTCTTCAGGTGCAAACATTGGAAGATGCTCTCATACCCAGAGTTGGAGGATGAACATCGCAGCACCAGCTTGTTTCGTTCCCAACTTCGAGCAAGTACACAGCTCCCGGTATACGCCAGCTAACACGGCCGATCCCCAACTCTTTTACCCTATTGCGTCCCAATCACCAAGGAGCAATGACAACCATATGGCTTGAATCCACCGGTTTGACTTGTCGGGGAACAGAAATCTACCGACCAAACCAATGAGGTAGATGTGTGCATAGCGCTTCAATTGATCTTCCGGTGTCTCGTTGTCGATGGCCACCTCATTTTGGATGTGAGTAACGAGCCACGGGACTGACACTTGTCCCACATTCAATGGTGGATGCCCCCGTCCTTGAATGGGTATGGTGGTCGGCATGTCAAAGCCCAAACGATCACGAATGAGCGGCCCCCAACCTCCTTCGGGTTTGGTAGTGCTCCCAATGATGGCCTCTCCAGAAATCGGCAGCCCGGTGAGGATCGCGACGTCTTTGAGGGTGATCGTCATTTTTCCCTCCGGAAGGTGGAACGTATGGGTATCGGGGTGCCATCGCTCCGCCATTGCCGTAAGCAGATCGTTGTCGATTTCGATCCGCATGAAATGCCTTAGCATACCCAACCGGGTCCTCTCTGTATAGGGCGCCAACCGATCATGCCAAGCGGGCAAGTTTGTGGTTCCTTTATGAACAACAGGACTAAGTGATTCCTACAAAAAAAAATAGGAAAAACATAAATTTGTTAGTTTAAAGAAAGCAAAATAATAGGGTAAATGACATATTTGGTCACTGAGATTACTAAATCGTGTCATATTAGTCACTAGAAAAATTTAATATCAATTTTGGTCACTCGAATTACTGAAACAGGTCACATTTGGTCACTCTTCTGTAGCCTCTGTCCAACTCCGGTCACTCGAATTATTGAAAAATGTCACATTTAGTCACTCGGATTACTGAAACATGTCATATTTAGTCACTCTCCCAAAAGTTTCCGTCCAACTACATTAATGGAGTTGGACGGAAACTGACGGGAGAGTGACTAAATTTGACCAGTTTCGGTAATTCGAGTGACCAAAATTGATATTAATTTTTTCTAGTGACTAAACATTACACAATTTAATAATCTCAGTGACCAAATGTGTCATTTACCCCAAAATAATACCTTAGAAAATAATAAAATAAAACAAGATAAATCATCAATTTAGCGGATTGTTATCCCAAATAGCATGGGAGCGATGTGCTTGTTGATCGGTTAAATACCTCGTATCTCTTGGGCCATAATGGATATACAATCGAGAATCGTATATCTCGGCACCCATCTATAAAAAAAAGTAATGAAATCAGATTGTTTTGATTAAAAAAAATCATAAAATCAAATTGTCTCGATTAAAAAAAATCACAAAAGAAAAACAAAAACCTACCCGAAGAGACTCTTCGTCCATTTTTTGGCGGAAGCCGGACAGAGGTTCGACGGGTTTATAAGGGATGGGGGCTTTATGGACGGGGCTTTTAGGGTATAACTCTAGTAATTCTTTCTGATGTGGAAGATCGGACTTAGCCGTAACCATAGAGCATACATAGAACGAGACTAGAGTGGATGGATTGAGAGAGAAAGAAGTGTAAATGTGGTGGTGTGATTTGGAAGAGGGGGAAAGGGTTCTATTTATAGTGAGGGAGGGAAGGGATCCGCACAAATTGCTAGGGGGACATCACCGCCTTTATCGAGAACGGTGATTGACGGGGATCGAGCGACGTGACGTGCTGTGAGGCATCGGATCTGGGAAGACAACCACGATTGCGGTGAGTGGACCCGCGACGTGGATCGCTGAAGTGAACAAATACGGGGCATTAACCGTGTTTGTCTAAAATGGTGAATGCACTGCGTCTGTCCACGTCAGCGATCCGCGTCGCATTCATCGTGAACGTAAAGAACGGGGAGAACTTCACCGCGTTTAATTAAAACGGTGATGTTATCACCGTTTTTGTTTAAAGCGGTGAATGGCTCACTCGTTACTCACCGTTTTAAACAAAGACGGTGAACACGTCATCGTTTTATTCAAAAACGGTGAAATGTTCACCGTGTTTGTCAAACGCGGTGATTGTATTCACTGCGTTTGTCAAAAACGGTAAATGTGAAACAAGTGTACTTTTGGAAAAAAAAATTATAACTTATGTATTTTGAGAATTTTTTTTAAGAACTTATGTACTTTGGGATTTTCCCCCTCAAAATCCCTTGGAACAAAATTCTCCTATCCACATCTATGAATAACTCGAATTAATGAAAGAACTAGGATTTGATCAAAAATTTATATCATGGGTAAAAGAATGTGTCACAACAGTTTCCTACTCGGTTCTGGTGAACAGGATCCCCTCTAGCTATTTTCGTCCTTCAAGAGGACTTAGACAAGGAGACCCTCTGTCGTCTCTATTATTCGCTATCTGTACAGAAGGGTTTTCAGCACTGATAAGACACACAATAGCAGTGGGATATCTGGAAGGAGTCAAAATCCGGGCATCTTGCCCGATGGTTTCCCACATCTTCTTTGCGGATGACTCATATCTCTTCTTAGAGGCTACCCCACAATCTCGTTCAACAGTTATTTCCCTATTCCAAGTGTACGAAGGCCTGAGCGGCCAACGGGTCAACCTACAAAAGTCAGCAGTACTATTTAGTCGCAATACGAACCCAAACCTAGCTGTGGAGTTAGGAGGACACTTAGGCGTGGGCAGCATTGGAGAACAAGATTATTACTTGGGACTCCCATCAATTATATCTAGATCAAAAAGAGAGGCCTTCCTATTCATAGAAGAGAAGCTCATTAAAAAATTACAAGGATGGAAACAGCGAACTCTGTCTAAGGCCGGAAAAGACATTTTGATTAGGACAGCGGCCACCAATCTACCAGTTCATGGATTGTCGTGCTTCAAGATCCCTAAAGAGAATTGCAAGAGGCTAAATAGTCACGTGGCTAGATTCTGGTGGGGTTCAGCGGATAATGTTGATCGCCCAATACATTGGGTATCCTGGAAAAGCTTGGTGCACAGTAAATTTCTTGGAGGTCTAGGATTCAAGGACTTTGGGGGTTTTAACCAGGCCCTGTTAGCAAAACTATGTTGGCGAATCTGGAAAAATCCGGACTCTCTCCTGGCCTCCATCTATAAAGGTCGGTACTTCCAGCACAGTTCAGTGCTGGATGCTAATCTAGGCTCGAACCCTTCTTGGGGATGGCGTGGCATACTGTTTGGAAGGGATCTCCTTCTCCAAGGGTTAAGATGGCAAGTTGGAGATGGGCAAGACATTGTTGCCTTCAAAGATAAGTGGGTTATTGCAGATAAACCCATCACCCCGTTGGTCCGCCTCTCGAACATAACTAATTCCCCGAGAGTTTCCTTTTTCATCAAGGAAAATAGAGGAGAGTGGCATGTTCCAAGGCTACAATATTGTTTTGATCCTTTAACAGTTAACCTTATATGTAAAACCCCACTCCCTAGATGCCAACAAAGAGATACGAGAGTTTGGCATTACACAAAAAATGGTTTATATACAGTCAAAACGGGATATCATCTAGCTCTTGAGCTCTCCTTAGCCGCTAGCCGAAAACCTCTGGTCCAAATCATTGATCCGCCTATCTGGAAGAAAACATGGGATATTCTAACCCCTCCGAAGCTGAAATTCTTTATCTGGCAGTGCCTTAGAGTGATATTACCAACAGTAGTAGCACTCAAGTCTAGAGGAGTAAATTGTCATGTCCGTTGCCCTGTTTGTTGGAGAAGTTCGGAAAGTATTGAACATCTGTTAATGCCCCTTGGCCATAAGAATGTGGTCTCTTATGGGCCTAAATGACTTCATTTCCTGTGAACTTCAGTCTCTGGTGGCGATATGTTATGCTCTCTGAGCACCCCCAAACCCATATCCTCCTATACGTTTGTGTATTGTGGAGGATCTGGAAGTCTAGAAATAAGGTGGTCTTTGAGCATGTCCAACCTCATGCCCAGTCTCTCGCTCGTCAATGTTTTTTCCAAGTTCGTGAACTGTCATCCTCCCTACCTTTGGTCCCTGCTCCTCCTCCCCAGTCCTCCTGCTCTCGCCGCTCTACCTGGTCCCCTCCTCCTGATGGATTTCTGAAGATCAACTTTGATGCTGCTGTTCGACCTTCCGGGTGCTCGTCTGGTCTAGTGGTGCGGAGTTCAGACGGGCATGTGGTTCTGGCAGTATGGTTTCTTCACCCCGGTATTGCTGATCCTTACCTCGCAGAACTCCTTGCTGCTAGAGACGCCATCTTCCTTTTGGTCTCCAAATCTTTACCTCGGGTCATCATAGAAGGAGATTCAGAGGTGGTGATTCGTCAGCTTCGTCAAGGTGTTTCCTCAGACTCCCTTGGAGGTCCGGTGCTTCGGGATTGCTTCCTTCTCCTGTCCTCTGTTTCTGTATCCTTAGAGTTTAGGGCAGTTCCCCGGACTGCTAACAGGGCTGCCCATAGAGTGGCGCAGAAAGCCCTGTTACTCTCCCCTCTAGAGTTGTGCGCTTTTGACTTTGTTGGTTGACTTCACTGATGTATTGGGTTGGGCAGGTTCTTGGTAGGTTGTATAGGTTCTCTCTTAACATTTCTTGAAAAAAAAAATATCTATGAATAACTCGAAACGACGGCATTTTAGGTGGATGCATCAGGTATAGATAACACATGGTCGAAGGTTTAGCCAACGACGTGCGTCCATATCCACCGAAAATTTCCTGGGCTCTGTCAGGAGGATTAACACACGAAAAAGCAGAAGCGTCGGCGGTCGAATTATTTCTTCGCAACTCTGTCTCCCTCCGCCAGAGGCTGAGAGCAGCTCGACCCACCAGCCGTCTGCTGTGGAGGCAGGCGGCGGCCAAGTTTAGTTTAAAATAGCGACCATTCCAATTTCATCGCCGCGCCGAATCGTATCTTGGGTACCATAATTTTTCTTTTTGAATTGAAGTGGCGCAAATGGCGTTCTCTCTGGTATCTCCATCTTCTTCTCCACCCTATCCTCACGGCCTCACAATCGCATTCCCGCCGAGAAATCTCATCCTCTGCTCCTTCCCTCACTCTCTCTCTTCCCCTACTTTCTCTCCCAATTCCCCCTATGCGTCTTCTCTATATGCCCGTGCCTTATCGTCCCGTTCCTCCTCCTCCTCCGCCTCGCCCGCCACCGTCTTCGTTTCCTCTTGCGATTTCGCCCCAAGCCACGGCTGTCGATCTCACTCTATGGGCAAATCCATAGATGGGTGTTCCAGGCGCAGGGTTGCTGCTTCTTTCGGCATGGGAGGGGAATTAGAAGGTAGAAGTGGGGAAGAAGGTGAAGATGAGGAGGACCCACCTGCCGCTGCCCACGACGATGATGAAGAGGATGAGGAAGAAGTGGAGGAAATGGGAGGGATAAGTCCAACTTCTGTTCTCCCTGAGAAATGGGATGTTCTGGGTCTTGGTCAGGCCATGGTAATTAATTCTCTCTCAAGTTTCCCGGTGTTTTTGGCCCATGAGTGTTATTTTTTTGCCCCTCTGCTTCTCTGGTTTTATGGCCGTTTGCGATGTAAATTCGGTGGCTTTTGAACTAGGAGCGCAGAAATTTGGATGCAATTCATGTTCTGTTTCTATATTCTGTTTTGCTTAATAATGGGCAAATCGAAGTGCAGTAAGGTTTCTGTTGTTTTCTCTCTTTCTATTTCTCTAGGTTTAAGTCTGTGGTTGTCGTGGATGTGTTTTCAGGAAGGACTTGCATTTTTGTTGTTAGAACAGAGTAGCATAGAAGTTCATTAGATGTTGGGCGTTTGGCTACCTTTCTGTTTTGCCCGTCTTTGGTATATTGTGCTGTCTACATTAGTTTAATTGGCTGAAATTATGCTATGGTACTCTCAGGTTGACTTCTCTGGCATAGTGGATGATGATTTTTTGGATAGATTGGGATTGGAGAAAGGAACCAGGAAGGTTGTCGATCATGAGGAGAGGGGTAGGGTTTTGCAGGCTATGGACGGTTGCAGCTACAAAGCAGCTGCTGGTGGATCTCTATCTAATAGTCTTGTGGCGTTAGCGAGGCTTGGCTGTAAGCCAATTGGAGGCCCTCCTTTGAACATAGCTATGGCGGGCAGCATAGGGAGCGATCCACTGGGTGGCTTCTACAGGTCACCTTCTATCTTGAACTTTTATTGTTTTGGTTTATCTGTAAGCTCGTTTCCTGTTGGTGATTATTGACAAGTTTGTGTATTGTTTACATGTCAAAAGTTGAGTTTGATAGTATGCGATTGTTATTCCTTTGCTGGGTTGAGAGCTTAGGTTTGATTTTGGAATTTCTATAGCTTTGTCTAAAGTCAACTGATGATGACCGTGCCGGAGTTGTGCTCCATGATGCTTGTTGTGTATTTTCTGTCTCAGTGTCAACTGATTTACTTGAAATAAAAAAGCAGATTTCCGAGAAGACTCACACAACCTGTGTGGCATGAGGCATGCCTTCTTAATTATTAATTACTCATAATCTCTTCCACCCACCCACCCGCCTCCTCCTTTGGCGGAAATCATGCTCTCTTCTCTTGAATTCCTGATTCTGCTGTCAAAAGCATGCTATCGTTATCTAGTACTAGGTAGGTTCACTAAGTTCATCCATGTAGGCTGTTGTAATCTCGACCAGAACTGTCTCAACAATGACTGGAATATCCCTTATAGGTGGAAAGTGGAACTTATCTGGAGATTTAGCGAAATTGGGCTTCAGCTACTGCATTGTGAATTTTGCTTGTAGATATTGTGCTCCCATGAAGTTTGTAAGCCTAATGTTACAAGTTTCGATGTGTTGACAGATCAAAATTGCGTCGGGCAAATGTGAATTTTCTTTCTGAACCTGTCAAGGATGGCACTACAGGCACTGTTATAGTTCTTACAACTCCAGATGCTCAACGAACTATGCTTGCATACCAGGTAAGACCTATTCATGAAAGGTTGGGCCTTGGTTTGCCTCTTTTCCTTTGGGCCCAAAAAGCACCTCAGTGCATCAACTATGAATCGTATAACAACTACGCTACTGTCTATTGCTTTGCACATACTTTACTGCAACGCTTTATGATGGTGAAATGTAGTTCACTTCAAGTTAACAGACTGCATGATTTGGTGATGGAAGTTCCGCTGGCTGTGAGATTGACCATTTCAAATGTGAACGACAACAACTTTCAAGTGGCAATTTTATTTGTCCTTGGTTCATAAGTGGGCTTCTTTGGCTTGCCCCTTGTTGCTTTTTGTACAAATACTACCAACTTTGATGCGAAAACGAAGAAAGATCATGGGAAGCAAATGGGAAGCAAGACACTCTTCTGGCATTAATTTTGATGAATGAAAATTCCATTTGCAGGGTACATCGGCAAAAGTAGACTATGATCAAAGCTTGGCCAGCATAGTTTCGAAGACGAGTATCTTGGTAGTGGAAGGTTATTTGTTTGAATTTCCTGATACCATCCAAACAATCAGGAAGGCATGTGAAGAAGCACGCAAGAGTGGTGCACTAGTTGCAGTTACAGCATCAGATGTATCTTGCATCGAGAGACACTATGATGATTTTTGGTAAGCCTATCATTCCGTTTGCAGATTGCTATTGTTATTAAGCATTTCATATGAAGCTTCTGCTACTTTTTGAGGGTGAATCACTTTAATGCTGCACAACAAAGTAAGTTACAAACCCATCTGGATCAACTGGTTAGATGTCTATTGATAGTTTGTCGATAGGAGCAAATAGAAGTGAAAATAGTAGAAGTGCCTGATCATAAAATGGTTCAATTGTCCACAATTTGTTTATATTTGAGGGTAGATGTGAATTGCGTGCAATCACTAGGACATGAGTTGCAGATGAATTGAAAGTTAGGTTTTAATGTAGAGTTTGGAAGTGTATTGGGTGACGAAGTTGGTTATATGATTGACTAGAGGCATCAACAGGTGTGAATTGAACCAAACGGAATAAGATGTAGACACCATATGGCAGACTACTGTTGTTTATAAGGATAAGCTTGTCATCATTGTGTTTCTTGTTCCGCAGGGAAATCGTGGGGAACTGTGCTGACGTCCTCTTTGCCAACAGTGACGAAGCAAGGTCCCTCTGCGATTTCGACAACAAAGAAAGCACCATTGCTGCCACGAGATACCTTAGCCACTTCGTCCCTCTAGTCTCAGTCACAGACGGGCCAAGAGGGTCTTACATTGGCGTCAAAGGAGAAGCTGTGTTCATCCCACCTTCCCAATGCGTGCCTCTGGACACCTGTGGTGCTGGGGATGCATATGCTTCCGGAATCTTATACGGAATCCTAAGAGGCGTATCGGATCTAAAAGGGATGGGTACTTTAGCGGCCAAAGTGGCGGCCACTGTAGTCTCACAGCAAGGCACCAGGCTTAGAGTTCATGACGCAGTTAAGCTAGCAGAGTCGTTTGCTTTCCATTTGGAGTCGTCCAATGTTGGATCGGATGTGAGCAACAACGACCACATCTCTTTGTAACCCTTCAGTTGTTCATACTGATAGACCTTACATGTAGACTCTGATCTGTGTATAAGAAAGGAATTGTCCGACCTTTCACTATGACACTGTCCATTAAATTTTGCCAAAGCATTTATACTGGAAAGGTGTTCCATAAGGGTAAGTGCAGTTGTTCATCAATAAGGAAGGCGGCAAAGGTGGTCGTGTTGTGTCTGGACTAAATAGTGTCAAGAATTCATTGGTAAAGAGTGCTCCATTAGTGAATTGCTAGTTTTCCAGGTGACTCTTCTTCAAATCTGTACCTCCTTGATCAATCTCTCTCTCTCTCACTCTCAATTTTTTACAATTCTACAATTCAATACCTTAAGAAGGGGGTCGTTTGAATGGGAAATTCGTTTCGAGGGATTTATGATGGATTTGACCACCAAATGTCTCGTTTAAAAATTTAGATATTTGTCTTGTAGGAGTTGTATAAATTCTCTTGTTTGTACAAGAATATGGGGCTTTTTTTTTTAAAAAAAAAACAAATTTCGATTGTGCCCTATCTTTCTTGGGTGAAATACTTTGGGTGCATTGAGCTTCCACAATTAGGAGACAGGTACCACTGGACTACAACTAGGGCAACATGTACGGATGTACCATCCAAATCAATAAACTGTGGTCATATTCATATTTTCCGTTAAGGTCACAAGGGGTGAAAAAAAAAAACCCAGGAACATCCATTTGGCGCTGACTGGGACCCATCTGGATTAAGGATGACAATTTTGCCCATACCCATGGGTATTTTACTATCCAACCCAATTGGGTTGGGTATGAAATCCAAATATATGGATATGGGTAAAGTTTGATGGGTTTGTACCCATACCCATTTACTTTGGGTTGGGTTTATAACAAATGGATTTGGGTTTGTACCTATGCTCAAATACAAGTTACAGTTTGGTACCTAAACTTAATAGATATGCATATTTAGTACCTAAATTTAATTTTTTTTGCATATAAGTCCTCAAAATATCGATGGAAAATTACGTTTTGGTACCTAAATTTTTTGGTCTTACATTTTGGTACCTAAATTTTTCAAGTTTTACAAATAAGTCCAATTTTTTCATGTGTAGTTAAAACACCCTCAAGTAAATGGATATCCATATCCAACCCATACCCATTTAGATAATATCCATATCTAACCCAAACCCATATATAGGGATGGCAAATCAGACCGCACGGGCGGGTACCCGCCCGAAAACCGGCTGGGCGGACCAGTTTTTACCCGGGGTTGACGGGGATTTAACGGATTCGGGGAAACCCGTTATCCGTGAATAACGGACATCGGGCGGTGACGGAGTCCAGGCTATCCGCCCCGAGCCCGCCCCGAGCCATAAAAACGACGTCGTTTTGAGCATATATATATATATATATCCATCAGTCGAGCAGAGAAACCCTAATCCCTAATTGTCGCCGCTCTCTCAGTCTCTCAATCTCTCTTCTCCTCTCTGCTCTCAATCGCCGCTCAAATCCATCGATTCGATTCCCCCCCGCGAAATTCTCTCAACCCAGGCTGTCAATCATTCATTATCCACCAATCAAAGCCTAATATACTCATCGATTTAGGCAAAGAACAACATGCAAAAGGAGAAGAATCAGAAGATGACTGTTCCAATCTTCGATTCGAGGTTATTGGGAGGATTTCTCGTCGATTATTGTTCCGATAATCCAGAACTCGAGATAAGTACCTTCCAATTCAATTCTTCTTTCTTCTTTCAGTTTCTTGCTTTAGTTTTAGGTTCGTTTAAATTAACTCGAGTCGATTGGTTCTTTCTTTTCTAGGGCTCTTCTGTTTCATTTTCATCTGCACCTGGGACTGCATGCATGCTCTGATACTCGAGGTAATCCCTATTCCCTAATCGAGGCTCTTCTGTTTGTTGTATTGACTTTAACTCATTGGATTGTAATGTTTGTACTTTTGTTTGAGGTTTTGCAGTTTTGTATCAGGCATCAGTTCACCATCCACAACTCTGGACAATAGACCCCCTCTGTCCAGATTCGAGGTTAGTTTAAAAATTAAGGACATTTTACTTAATTTGGTTTGCATGTATTAGGAATTAGGGACTCGAGTTTCTGTTGATTGCTTGGGTGTTGGGTCTGCTCATGAATCATGTCTTGTTTAGTATAAGTATCTCTGTCTCATCTGCATGTTACAATTGAATCTAAAAGACTATAAATTTGAACCTAGAAATCTTATAGCTAAAGCCTAAAAAGTAACCAAGCAATCCTTTGATGTTATACTCGTTTATCTCAATGTCAGATGGAAGGTGCACCTGAAAATGTTGTCAATGCCCCTGTTCCTCCACAACCTGCCCCTGTTGATCAAAACAACCAACCTGAACAAGTTGGTAATGGTAACGGTAACTTGGCTAATGATAATTCTGAAGTGCTTGTTGAAGAATGCAAATTGACTTCTGATGTATGGCCTCATTACATTAGGGTTAAGGTTAATGGTGTTATTAAAGCTAAGTGCAAGTACTGTCGAAAAAACCTTGGTGGTGATACTCGTAATGGAACCTCGCACCTTAGGACTCATGTGAAAACCTGTATCCAAAAAAGGATACATGATGGTGCTCAAAAAATTCTTTGCCCTAATTATAAAGCAACTGGAAAACCCCAATTATCTGCTACACAGTTCAACTCTGATGTGTCTAGGAAGGAGCTGAGCTCAATGATTTTGGTCCATGAGTACCCTCTTAGCATTGTTGAACACTTGGGTTTCAAGCGTTTCTGTTGTTCTTTGCAACCACAGTTTACTGTGCCTTGTAGAAATACTGTGAAGAAAGATATATTGTCTTTGTATGGGGTTGAAAGGAGTAACTACCAAAAGGTTATTGATGGTAATTTGGGTAGAATTGCTGTGACCACTGATTTATGGACTGCCCCAAACCAGAAGAGGGGTTATATGGCAGTCACAGCTCACTTTATTGATAATACTTGGAAGCTAAGAAACTCAATGCTAAAGTTTTTGTATGTCCCTGCCCCTCATACGAGTGAGAGGCTTGCAAGAAAACTGTTTCAATGTCTTCTGAATTGGAACATTGATGGAAAGTTGTCTGCAATCACCTTGGACAACTGCTCCACTAATGATTCCATGATTGCTCACCTTAAGAATAAGCTTGTTTTGAATAACTTGTTGATGGATGGTAGACTGCTTCATATGAGGTGTTCTGCTCATATACTGAACCTTATTGTGAAAGATGGTTTGGATGTGATAAAGGATGGAATCCATTTGATTAGGGAGAGTGTGGTGTATTGGACATCCACACCTAAGAGGGTCCAGACTTTCAATGAAGCTGTTAAACAGCTTAAGTTGGCTGTTGGGAAAAAACTTGTGCTTGATTGTCCAACAAGGTGGAATTCTACCTATGATATGCTCTCTATTGCTCTTCTGTACAGAGATGTCTTTTTTCGTTTAAGACAGATGGATAGTCAATACCTATCAGCTCCTACTAATGAGCACTGGGATTTTGCTGCTATTGTGATTGATAAACTGCTCATTTTCAGTGAGATGACTGCATTATTTTCTGGTACCAAGTACCCCACTGCCAATCTGTTTTTCTCTAAGGTCTGTGATCTGCGATTGAAATTGAGTGACTGGTGTGCTGATCTTAATCCTGTTATTTCTGCCATGGCTGGAAATATGTGGTTGAAATTCACAAAGTATTGGGATGATATACATCTTGTTCTGGCAGTTTCAGTGGTTCTGGATCCTAGGTACAAAATGCATGTCATTGAGTATTATGCTGCTAAGTTTGGCAGCTCTGATACTTACTTGGTGGCTAAGGATCTAAAACAGCTGATTTGTGGTTTGATTAATGATTATCAAACCAAGGCTGAAAAGAAATCTGGTTCTTCTGCCAATGAACCGATTGGAAATGCAAATGTCTCTGTTTCAGCAACTGATCTTGATTTCGAGTTGTTTGTTAGTCAGAGGAAAAAGAGCAAAACAACTCTGATTACTACTGAGTTGGACCATTATCTTGCTGAGGAACTTATTCCTCGTGATCCATCTGCTGAATTTGATCTCTTGATGTGGTGGAAGTTGAATGGCCTTAAGTATCCTACTTTGCAAGCAATTGCAAGGGACTTTTTGGCTATACCAATAACATCAGTTGCTTCCGAGAGTGCTTTCAGCTCTGGTGGGAGGTTGTTAGACCCCCACAGGAGCAGGCTCGATTATTCTACTGTGGAGGCCATGTTGTGCAGTCGTAGCTGGGTTAGGGAAGCCTGGCTAAGAGGTAACCTGCAATACCTTCGACTTGAGTGAGTTTTGGTTCATTTAAACAAGTGACTGAGTTAGTTTGTTCTATTTCTGCAGAATCAGAGGCTGCTGCTGCTGTGGAGGCAATGGATGGACTGTTTACTGGGCTGTCAGTTCACGATTCAAGTGTAGAAGATCAGGAAAATGGGGGTAAGTTAGTTGGTTTTTAGTTTTTAGTTGGTAAGTTTTGGTTTATGAACTGCATAAGTGAACAAATTTTTTTTTATATTGATTGCAGTCCAGGAACTTCTGAATCTGGATTCACCATTCTCCTTTGATGACTGATTATTGGAACCTCAGAAGAGAAGGTATATAATACATTCAAATTGACTTTTCTCCTTTATTGTAAGCTTGTATATGTTCCTTCATATTTTTGTTTTCTTGCAGGGGATGAATGTCAATTTGTCATGACTCATGTGCTGCTTGACTGCTTCTGTTCTTCAAATCTGGTTGCTGCCTTGCTGGTGCCTTTGAGAGTTTGGCTTACTGCCTTTGAGACTTGAGAGTTTGAGTGTGCTTTATTTGCTACTTTTAGAGTTGAGAGTTTGAGTTTGAGTTTGAGACTTGAGAGTTTGAGTTTGAGAGTTTGGTTGCTGCCTTGCTGTTCCTTCATATTACTTGTTTTCTTTTTTGCTACTTTTAGACAGTTGATGAACTCATGAACAATTGAGGAACTCTTGAAAATTCAGAGTTCTGGGTGGTGGGTGGGTTGCAGCCTTATAGGCTTTATGTTAAGTTACTTTTGAGTTTTGAGCACTGCTCAACTTTGAATTTGAATTGAATTATGTTTTTCCAGTTATTTTATTGTTTCAATATGTCAATTTTTTTAGGGTTTGTAGCGGGTAACGGGGACCCGTGGATTCCCCGTATCCGTTGATTAACGGTGACGGTATCAAATTTGGCCCCGTTGAATGGCCGGGGACGGGGACGGGGAAACCCGATACTGTTCACGGACGGGGAACGGATGGTATGAATCCGTCCCCGATCCGCCCCGTTGCCAACCCTACCCATATACAAACCCCAAACCCATACACACATCTAGGCATGTCAAATGGGTCTTAGGGTATGAGTTTTACTCAAACCCAATTGAATTTGGGTCAAACCAGGTTTTGGATTTTTCTGTTTTGGAGCAGACCCATACCCATCCAATTAAATTGGGTCCAAGATAGGCCCAGAAAATTAATTAAAAAAAACAAAAAAAAATCTCTACAGAACCCAAACGGGTCTCTTCATCTTCGACCTAATGGCTAATAGAGCGATTGCTTCTCCACCATCGTATCCCGCCGCCGCCGCCCGCCTGCATCCGATTCTCGATCAGTGACCATCAGCCCCGAAGACTCCGCCGGCCTGCAATCCCGATTCTCGATCAGCGACCATCAGCCCCGACGCCGGCAGCTTCTCCTTTTCCCCACCATCGGACCCCGAGGCTGTGGAAGAAACCCACCTCTCGCTCTTCTCGTGCTGGTCTCGATCTCCAGGTTTGCCCCCTCTCTGTTTGCTCGGTTCTTCTTTTCCCCTGTATCTAGCGCTCTAACATTTCGTTCATCTGGGTTTGGTTTACTTGTCTCATCTTTGGTTTTGGGTTTTTTTTTTTTGTATATTGGTTCTGGGTTTGCGTCGGTTCAGTCGGAGAGAGGAAGCTTCGCGGCGAGAGGAAGCTTCGCGGCATAATCTGGGTCGGTGTCGGCACAATCTGGGCTTCCTTGTCTCTTTGCGCAGGTCACAGTGCTACAGGTACGCCGGGGGAAAAAGTTGTGTGCTTTAATGGTGCTTGGTGTCTTGCTTCTGTGTCTGTAGTGTTTTTAGCTGTTTGTGTTGAGCTCTGAAGTTCTATAAGAGTTTCTACTTGAGTTCGGCCTGTTCTTCATGGGTCGGTTAGCTTAATGGTGGAACTCTACTTACTAGCATAGTTTGCTGCCTTTGTAGATGATGATCTCATGGCATTCCACCGTGTCATTAAGTATAGTTGTTGCACTGGGTGCTTTGAGGTCCAACGAGAGAAAGGGGATTGCCTTTGCTTTTCCTGCTTTCTATTAAGATGCTTTTAGTTAGCGATGTTGAGAATAAGTTCTAAAGTCAATTTATCTCCTGGAAGTAGGTCAATTCTCCAGCTGGGTTGGTGTACTGACTTTGAACTCAGCAGCATAATTAAATAGTTCATATCTTTGATGTGTCTTATGAAACTGTAAATTGCTTCTTGGATTAGAAATGCATCCCTTTATTCATATCTTTGATGTGTCTTGTGGTAATATTGGTATGTTATGTTATTCAGGTTAAGTGAAAATGGCTTCAGAAATAGATGAAACTATTGAATTATCTGAGGTTCCTGAAAATTCTCATATAGATTCTGGTGAAAGCAATAGTGAAGCTCCTACAGTAGTTTCTAATGGCAGTAAACAATTGAGGTCTAATGTATGGAAATACTTTAAGAAAGTATTATTTAGAGGAGAGTTAAAGGCTCAATGTCAACATTGCAAGAAAATACTTTAAGAAAGTATTATTTAGAGGAGAGTTAAAGATTCATGGAATGATGGCAGTTGCTGCAATTCTAGATCCTAGATACAAGATGAAAATTTTGGTATGGGCGTTTGAACCAATTTATTGTGTTTTGGCTGAACACCATCTGAAGAGGATTAAAGATATTGTTTATGATTTGCTTAATCAGTACAAGAGTTCAGAACCTAATGAGGAGTTTGCAAGTGGTACAACTATGTTTTCTGGGTCGAGTCAACAAGTGGATGATGATTTTCTTGCTGGATCTGATAGGTTTGTAAGCGGTGATCATAGAGTTTCAAATGTGAAAGTAGAATTTGACACTTATTTGAGTGATGGGGTGATACCAAGAAGTGATGAGTTTGATATATTAGCTTGGTGGAAGAATCAAGGGCTCAAGTATCCAACTTTGAGGTTGATAGCAAGAGATATTCTAGCCATCCCCGTGACGACAGTTGTTTCGGAATCTGCTTTTAGCACATGTGGTAGATTGTTGAGTCCGCATCGTAGTCGACTTGACGCTAATGCTATCGAGGCGTTGATGTGTTCTCAAAATTGGTTACTAAATGAGGTCAAAGGTATATGATTTATGTTTTAATCAAAGGTATAACATTGTATATCATTGGTTACTAATTGGTTTCAATTTTGACATAGGTGTGTCCAAAGTTACTCATGATTTGAGTCATGCAACTATAGACGATGAGAACGCGGAAGATGCAGATTTTGATGAAGATGGGGAGGAGCATGACAATTGAAGCGGAGCCAAGAGGTATGTATCTGCATATATATGCATTATTTCCAAATTGATTTTACCCACTGTTTGTTTTTTAGCAATAAAGTCGAGATCCCTTCTTCCCTTCTTCTTTGCACCACCCACTGTTTGTATCTGCATATATATGCCTCAACGTAGCTATAGAGGGATTGGGGAAGAGAGTAGATTCCACTCTATTGTGTTTAAAGATATATCTGTCATGAAGTCGCCATGTGTAGATGATACTGATAGTACATATGAATGGTAGGGCTTACTTTGAACGTAGCAAATTGAATCTCAGTTAAGCATGAATTATAAAGATTTATAAGTGCATCAAGCAATGTTAATTGATTGAACTCATTACTATGTGGCACCTTCATTTCTGCCCATTTTTCGGTAATTAGTAATTATTTATGGTCTCGTGAGATGCTGTAATTTTGTATGGCAGAGAAGGCTGCTTGCTTCCTACGACACAGATGCGATTCTGAGTTGAAAGAGTTGGAGGACAAGTACCAGACATTGAGATGTTTTTTACTTTTTTCCCCCTTCTGAACTTGAACATGAACCATGAGTTGGTATTTTCTGTTTTCTACCATTGAGGATGTTTATGGGAGACTAAGACTTAGAAATATTATTTGGGTCTGTTTTCTAATATGCAGGAGTTTGAACTTACCAAAATCTAACTTATACCCAAATGGACCCATTTGGGTCGGTCCAAATATACAGGCCCATTGTGGACCCAATTTAAACCCAACCCAACCCAAAAAAGTAAAAAGAAATTTGGATCCATTTGGGTCCAAACCCAATGCCCATATGGGTCAAGGTATTTGGGTCAAAAGACCCAATAGGCCTACCCATTGACAAGCCTACACACATCACCCAAACCCTACCCATAATAAATGGGTCTACTTGGGTTTGGGCAAAATTACCCATGGGTGGGTAAATTGCCATCCCTAACCTGGATGTTGGTTCATTTTAGGGGCAAACAAAATCAGGGGAAGAGCGAACTAGGTTTCATTCAAAGAAACTAATCGATACATTCCCATCCACCCTCTTCATCTCGTATTGCCTGACATAGCTTTAATATTTGTAAGTTCGATCGAAACAACACTAACGACTCCAATCAGAGCAAAGTATAACTCGAATTGGTGAGGTAGTATAGCGGTGATCGATATCGTATTTCGAGGGTCCGTAGGCTTACTATTAATTTGCTCCGGCCTACTAGCTAATCAAAATAGAAAAGGTTCGTTTAACTGCTAAGCTAACCTGACTAACTAAACAACCAACCAAGTGGTTGGGTAGAGATGAGTTAGTTCTCTAGGTTCAAGCCCTCCTAGTAATATGTTGAGTGATTGATCAATGCTAACCTAAATCGTGGAGCAGAGGTCGCTAATATAGGGATCTTTAATTTGCAATGGTCAAGCCACTAATCCCCCTAGCCAAGACTATCGCCCCCAATGTCATACACTTACTTTCCTAGCATCAACTAGGTGTGCTCCTAATTGGCAAGTGATGGTCACCTCGTCCACCAATTAGTACCCTAAATCATATAATCTAGATAGAAAGCTCTCCACACACATCCACATAGCTAACCCTAGGGCTAATCATGCACCATGTCATATCAAGCAATCAAACCATGGAAAGAAGCATTAAACACCTTAATTGAATACAAACGTCTAGGTTTTCTGACCAAACGCTTGCTTTTTCTTGCGTGCTTGTTCAATCAATCAAACACAAACTACATAATAAGATTCATCTCCCCTAAACAACCTTTTGGGTTTAAGTCAGAGAGAGAGAAGAAATACAAACACAAGAGGAAATGCTTGAAGTCATATTCTTCTCCTTGGATTGCACCCTTCTCCTTGAATCTTGGATGAATTCCTCCTCCCCAACCTCCCTCATGGTGTTTCTCTCACTAAGAACTACCCAAAAACCCTAATTTCTCACTCTATATCGACTCCCCTTCGTCAATTACAGAAAAGGGTATTTATAGGCGTGTTGCAACATGATACGGCTAAAAGAGTGCAAGATACAACCTTGAGGCCATGACCCGATAGATACGACCGTATCCAAGGTCGTATCATAGATCGTATCGTGTAAAACGATGTCGAATCACCCAAAATGTTGCGTCTTTACTCCGTCTTTGAGTTCCTAGTTCGTGGGCTGGAGCAATTGAGATCGCGACCGTGATCTTTATGTCACAACGTTTTCGTGGTCGAGTTGCTCCTTGACTGTGAGGCTGGTCTTGAGATGCTCTGTCCACACGTTGGTTGCCTCTTGAAGTTTCATGGTCACAACCCAAGGATTGAGGCCGTGAACATTGATACTTTCTCTGATATGGCTTGTGATATTAAATTTAATTTTATAAAATTTAATATATTTATTTAAATCTCATATCATAAAATACCAAAAATGCCCCTTGTTACTTCCCACCATCTGATTTAACTTAATAGTAATGAACGACGATAAGTGTGGTTAGCATGGTGCTTTCTCCTATAGAGTTAGCACTCCAACTCCTCCCAAGATTACATTCTTATTGGTTATTATTCTTCATTTTGGTGAAGTAATAGATGTGAATGGTACGTTAAATAATAATGGGTAATGTCTGTTTTTTATCTAGACCTTTTTCAGATTCTTTTATATTATCCAAACCTAATAAAATGCTATTAATTAGCCAGATCTTTCGTAATGCATCAAAATATTAGCCATTTTTACGTTATCGTTAATAATTTTGTAACTTTTTTCTTAGTTAAAATACTAACTTTTGGAATGTTGACCTTCACGTGTCTCTTCTAAGTTAGTAGCACGTTCCAAAGTCAATATTACTGACAAAATTGCTAACTGAAAATTAACATTTAGCTAATTCTTAGTGTTTTGATAGGTTTGGCTAATAAAAATGAATTCAAAAAAGGTTTGGCTAATAAATATTCATTACCCAATAATAATCATAGATTGTTAGGGATTGATTTATGTATTGTCTAAGCTAAGGTATAATAAAACATTGGTTTCATCTTACGTCTACGAATTCTACTTTCCAAATTGGGAGTATTTAATTAACAATGTAACACATACAACTTAGCTTGCACAGCTCACTTCTAGGTTGTAGGGTAGGGTATGCATTTGTGCAAAATCAGATGGGTCTTCTTCTTTTTTAGTGGAGTCAAATTTAAGGGGCAAGATTTTTTTCTTTGTTTAATTGGATTCAATTTTCTTCCTTTTTTAACTCAATTTTTTTTCTTCCTAAGATGAAACTAGTTCTCTTTGAAAAAATTGTAAAAATACTTTAATCCAAATATTAACGCTGGAAATTTCGTTATTATGATAATAATACAAAATCCATTTAGAAAAGAATAAGTTCTAGCGGAGAGCTTATCCACAATGTTCATTATTATTATGGTAACAATAAAATTTTAATTTGAAGTAGATAAACTCGAAACGTTTTTTAGCGATAGGTGACGTGGAGTGCCGTTAACAGTATTATTAACGGTAACAACTCAACCGCTAACATTATGAAAAATTTGACTATGTTTTTGTATTTTCAAAAATTTGGGGGGTAATCTTTTGTCAAGATTTGGGTAATAATGTTATAAAAAAAAAAAGATTTGGGTAATAGTAAGTTGTATTTATATACCTTAAGAAAACTGATAAGAACAAAATAAGCTCAACGTTAAACGACACGATAATACTGCAAGATTAGCCAACCTGGACGTACGTCTAAAACCATGTAACGTGAGGATAGGTATTAATTTAGAGCCATACGACCAAAATAATTGTACTATGGTGAGGAAATTGCCAGAAGGTAACGAAGAACCAAGACACATGATGCCGGGTGGGACTTGTCTACTAGCACGACTCTGGTATTATTGGTCTAAAACGACAAGCTTAATGCACAGAAAACGACAAGTAATCCGCAGAAACCAAAACTCTCATCATCTACGCAGCATTTGAAATAAATATTCCAACAATCCGCCTCGTGTTAGATCTAATCGCATTTATTGTTTAATTACTTCAAATCTAACAGAATCAAAGATTTTGTACCTAGCCAAAGGTCACACCGTTTTGGCGGTGAAACTCTTAGTGGACGGCTGGACGCTGCTGGACGCTCATTCTAGAAAGTGGCAGATCTCGTGTTCGAAGAGGCCCGTTATGGTGCTCCCAGAAGCATTAAATGGGAATTTTTGTGGAGGACCCGAAAGGGCTCAAGCAGGTGAACCACAGATTCGGTATAAAAGAATGAAAATTTTATTTCACATCTTATTTTAAAATTAAACTATTTTTTATTTGAAATATCATAGTGAAATCTTCAAAAAATACATAGAACTAAACTGTAAAATCAATATGGAACACAATGTAAAATCAAATGAAATGAATTCTTTGCAGATTTATACCTTTTGAATAATATGCACTTGACTTTCCCTTATAATTTTTTTTGACGAAAAAATAAAATCATTTATCATGTATTACTTAGTAATGCTTTCTTTCTTGCCATCTCAAGTCTCAACAAGTTGATTTCTAAGGATTGATGATAATCTTAGCTTGCTGGAAATCTGGCTTTAAAATTTGTATATCTATCCATCTAATTAACTTCCAAATCGTCCAGCCTTTTACATAAAACAAATCAAATAAGCTCAACGACAAAAAAAAAAAAAAAAAGGAAGATAAAGAGGAATGACGTAGAAGAGCAAATAAAAGTGAAGAAACCAACTTGCCAAAAAGCCATTGTGTAGTTATCAACGATAGTTAGGAATGGCAATGGGCAGGTTCGGGGTGGGTATGGCAATGGGCAGGTTCGGGGCGGGTATCTCGATACCCATATTTGCCCTATGACAGGTCGGGTAATTTATCATGAGGGCGCGGGTTGGGGCAGGTCGACCTATTGGGTATGTAATTTATGTGAAAAACATTAGAAATATTCGTTCTTTTTATTGAAAGACCAAGAAAAAACCATAATATGATAAAAATGTAGTTAAATTATTGAAGAAATTGAGGTTTTCACTTATTTACAACTTTATTATAGCTAAAATATAATGTAGTAAGAGGAAATTCTTAAGTAATTTGACTAATATTATATGTAATTTAGGCAAGAACGGGTCGAGAATGGGGCGGGTCAGGGCAGGTCGGGTCGATGAGAGGTACCCATGCCCGCCCTGCCCCGCCTACGGGGCGGGTTTGACCTTCCCCAAAACAGGTCAAACAGGTTGGGTAAATCGGGTCAGATCGAAATTGCCATCCCTAACGATAGTCATTGACTTTAGTAGAAAGAACAAAATTTTCAAAGTTGAAAATGAAAAATGAGAAGTCTGGAGGGGAAGAGGACAGTTGGGAAAAACAAAAGAAGAGCAATAATGGTCGAACACAAGATCCAGCTACTATAATGTTAGCTGAATGCATATGTAGTTGTTACAAAAGGGTCGTTATATATGTCATTAATATCCATTAGTTAATTAGATATGAAATTCAGATGGAAATTCCATCTTAGTTACTCGAATCGTTACAACTAGCTAGTATCGATCCCGTAAAAATTAAAATTCAAAATTGAAAATGAATTTTCTTATATTGAACAAAAACTTTTAGAATTCAGTTCGCTACACTAGAACAAGACATCATGACCTATTTTGCAAGGTGTGATTATGATATTTTATACATAACTTCTTTATAATTTCCAAAAATCTCGATTCATTTACACATGAACTTCAAAATTTCTGAAGAGCGAGACCCCCCCCGAGACTCAAGGTAGTTCCGCCCCTACAGGGTGTCTATATTATTGCTACTCATATCTACGTTAGTATCTAGCAGATGAATCAAGGTTTCAATTATCGCCATATTCTCGATCACCCTGACTTGACATGGGACTATTCATGATGGTGTTGCTTGAACTCTACTTTAGCTACTTGGTGCTAACATTGTAACCCATATAGGAAAGTGCCTTTAATCTCTATATTATATGCTCCATGCTTTACTAAAAATATGGAAATAGGATGGGTGATCCAACTACATATAAAATATATTGAAAGGCTTGGGAAAAGAGCAGGAATGCATGGAAATAGGATGGGTGATCCAACTACATATAAATTATATTGAAAGGCTTGAGAAAACAGCAGGAATTTATGGAAATAAGATGGGTGATCCAACTACTTATAAAGTATATTGAAAGGCTTGGGAAAAGAGCAGGAATGATGTTAGGATACTGAATATTTATTATTTGGTATTCGGACTTTGGAACCGTGCTCGACGTTCTCGAGTAGAGGCTCACATTACTGGCGAGAAGTATCCCAATATACTACTAAAACTACTAAATTGAGAACGGGGCAAGCAACATAAATTTGTTTTTAATTTTCTCGTATGATTGTTCATAAACAAAGCCTATATTTTTAGAGTTACACAGCTAAATCTCTTTCCTTCTCACCCTAGTCTTTAGCCTCTCTCCTTTTCATTTCCCTATTACAAGAAATATTAATTAATTACTAAACAAGAACTAACAAAACTCCTAATCCTACTAGAACAATTAAAGCAATAAACAATACTAGTTTAGAAAATAATAATACAATACCAACTAAATAATAAAAATAATCGTCTCTTAACAAATGAGTTAATTACAAACATCCCATAGTACTCGAAGAAATCTGGTTAAATAAATTCCACCACCCGATTTGGAACTACCCGAGCCAATATGTTAACGAGAATCGATCCAACGTTCGAGAAGTGAGATTATTTCGTTCCGATTTGCAAATTGCAAAGGACTTAAGTGGCATTTCCGCCAGGGGCGGAGCTAGCTTAGTCCGCCGAGAATTTTGAAAGTCACGTGTAAAAAGTTCAAGACTATACATATAAATTAAAAGGAATGTAGAAATAACCACTGACATGAGGAATTATACAAGGAAAATAGATGTAGTCCAGCGGAAGGAAACTATATTTGTGCTTTATTGGGTGCCTGAGCGAGGGTTCGATCCCTTTGGAAAGCAATTTTTATTTTTTTCTTTACATTTTCCACTTAAGTAAATGGTCAATTCTTTCACCCTATTTGAAGTTACGGTATACAATTTCCTTTCCCTCTCATAATTTGGTTCATTAAATTTTAATTTAATGTTATATCAATTAAAATTATCAATTCTAAGGTTACTTTCAGATATATAATGAGTACTTTTGGATAATAATATCCGTAGAGCTTAACCTTTTAGTTATGAAATCAAAATATACCACAAAGAGTTGAAATGTGTTGTTAATTTCTTCATATTATTCTAATTTATATTGAATTTAATATGAAAAATATTGTGCGTATAATTAATTTTTTTAAATATTTGTTTATTAGTATTTTTCGTCCTTTACGTTAACCGGATTCCGGCCCCCGAAAACTAAATCTTAACTCCGCCCCTGATTTCCGCACAGCCCCTATGTGGAATTGTGGATCACCCCTATGTTTCTTTTTAAATACTCATCAATTGGTCATTTTTTATAAGTGAAGATCTGCAAATTGCAAAGGACTTAAGTGGCATTTCCGCACAGCTCCTTTTCACTATATAAACATCGCCATGGATGCCTAAAGTCCATACACAAACACAAAGAAGCTACAGTCAGACTTTCAAAGCTTCGAATCACCCATTGCCAACCTTAAATTGCTCTATCTTTCTCTGCCACCGCCAACCCAAATGGCCTCCACTGTCGGTGAAGTGATCACTTGCAAAGGTATAAAGATACGGTGTTTCGTTGCAGTACGCTTTTATTTATTTATTTATTTTGAATCTGATTAATTTGAGTTGTTAAAAAATGTTTGATTCTTACTTTTATATGTCGTCGTTCGTTTTTCATAACACGCCCATCAACCATTATTTCTACTGGTAGTCGATCATTACAAGAATTTCAATAATAGACCGATCGATCAAAGATTCTGGTAGTCCCCATAACTCGATTTATTGAGAAAGATTTTATTCTTAATTTTTACATGGGTGATATTGAATAATATGTAGAGAAGGGGGAAAAAAACTATTGAAAATGATATCGGGAAATGAAGCACGTAAAGTAAAAACTATTTGTCCAAGATCGAATATGTAAGATCTAGTAATTAGACCCAATTGTTGTGTGGAGACATTCATAAAGCAATTACTTAATTGTTTCTCTGCCTCACCAGCAGGCAGAATGTGTGTTAGTAAGTATTAATTATCCACTTGTATCGTTAACATAGCTGCCTAATTTTTTTGGCATGTGAAAAATCCTATGCATTTGTGCTTTTCCTAGTGCAAATATATATCAATCGCTAAAATTTTATTTGGGTTTTGGCGTGAGAAATTCCATATGTATATCTTGCAGCGGTCGTGTGCAAGGAAGTGCAGAAACCCGGACAAACCTACAACGATATAATCGAGGTGATGGATATACAGGTGGATCCGCCGCAAAACACCGAGATCAGGGTCATGATGCTGTCTGCCGGTATCTGCCACACCGATATTTCAACTATCGAGGGCTTCATGACCACGGTATATAATTTAATTTCGATTTGGTATTTTCTGACTATTCCTAGTTTCATTCCACAATGATCAAATTGTAATGTAATAGTTTCTCTTGGTTTGGTCCATTTATGCAGACGAATTTCCCTCGAGTTCTGGGGCACGAAGGTGTTGGGTAAGCTAGGCCATGAATTTTAATTATTAATCGATTATAGCATTCTAAGCAATATTAATACGTACCCCAAAGTTAATATTGTCCATATCGAACTCTACAAATCTACAATAATGTCCTTTGATTTTTGGACATAACGACGAGATCAGATCGCCCTAATAAATAATATAATATAATAATCTACACAATAAATAAAAGCCAAATGAGAAAACTTGAAGCCCCATTTCAAATTTCCTGCATCCAGAGTGAAAGTAGGAAGGGCATTTTGGTCTTCACAATTACTTTTTTTATTCATTAAAAACACACTTACTAGGATTCGAACCATGTCCACTTTCAAAGAAAAGCAAAGATCATAACCAATCACACTAAGTATGTTTGTTGTATCTTTTTAAATTGAAAATATATAATCGTAGTGAGGAAAAAACTCTTCCCCTATTTCAAATTTCCTGCTCCAGGAGCGTTTGCAGGAAGGGTAGAATAGGGAGTGTCAATTTTTCCTTTTTTCTCTGTGGAACGGGCCAACTTACCGTACACAAGCGGATTTAAACGGGTCCGGGAGTGTCAATTTTGTTCTTTAAGTCCTTTTATTTCTCCGTGGTGGTAAAATATATATGAAAAGGAAAAAACAATACTCCTTTTTATTGCTAAAAAGAAAAAAATTTAACAATAAACTAATGCATGGATTCTAATGGGCTAACCGCTAATCATAAATAAAAGAGTTGAATAGGTCTGACCTACACAGGATTTGCCAATCAAGTAATACAAATAAACATCATGGGTTTGCCATTCTAAAACAAGCTATTTTCTCTAGCATAATATATATTATGCTATTATTTTATTTCTTAGTGGCTAAAATATAATGTATTTTAAAGTTATTCAATGAACCTCGACCAACCCAATTAGTTCAATTTGTATCATTTCAAATATATATTATGTAATTATTTGATATCATAATGATTAAATTATAGTGTATATTATAGGAAATCGTTTGATATTTGTTAGTAAAAAACTAAACAGAAAGATCTATTTGGTTATTTTTAACATTAATTTCATTAAAACGATTCTAAACATTTTCAGTTTCCTTTAGAAATTCTATAGCTTTATTCCCGAATCAGTGATGTGCAAATGGCGAATTGCAGTCATCTCTTTTCTTTCATTATTTTTTATTTTCAAATAGAAAGTTTAAAAGTAAAGAATAATTAGAGGTTGGCATGGGTCGGTCAAACATGATGAATTTCAAGTTTTGGCATGTTTTGATCAAGTCTAATTAATAATCACATGGTTCCCTGATACCCGATAAAAATCTCAATACAAACCAGTTTGGCAGGTGAGTCCGTGTTTACCACCATTTTCTAGGGATACAGGAACGGTGGTTCCTATCCTAAATCGTGTTGTTCATTCTTGATTTCTTTAGATTTTATCATGGCGTGGCAAAAAACCAGAAAGCACAATGATGACAAGATGAAAGTTTTATAAAAACAAATTAATCGGCCAACGGGCCGAGTAAAAGCTAGCAACGATTGTGAGATGCTCATTTCCCGAAAACCGGCGGGATAGGCGATTTTTTATTCGATTTTCTGGAATTCGGTTTCTATAAAACTTACTCCACCTCATCATATTACCAGAAACAATATTGTTTCACAAGGTAACAGGTACTTGATTTTGGTTCATAAGGCTGATTTTTGATTCGTTGCATCATTCATGTCTCTTTCCTACTAAAATTCACTATTTTTATCACGTGTTTCCCCAAAAAAAAAAGTATACAACAATAAGCTATACACTCCATTACATTATCAAATTTCATACCTCATCTTCCTCCGGCCAAATGGCCGAGGCCACGCTAGTTACAATGATAGACCAAAAAACTCATGTTACTTTTTTTTTTTTCATTTAATGATGAAGAATCGTGGAGAGCATGGGACCGGACGCCGTCGAAGGGTTCGCCGTCGGCGACTACGTGATCGCGCCGACGTACGGCGAGTGCGGGACATGTGGCAGCTGCCGATCGGGCCGGACCAACGTCTGCCAGACGTACGGCGCCAACGAGGCGGCCCTCGAGCCCGACGGCGACTCCAGATTCTCGTACATCGACGCCGACGGCAACAGGCAGATCCTCTACTACTTCCTCGCCTGCTCCACGTGGACACAGTACATGGTCGTTGACTCCAACTACGCCGTCAAAGTCGACCGCAGCGAATTCGCCGCCCCGCAGGCCACCATCCTCTCCTGCGCCTTCACCACCGGCTACGGCGCAGTCTGGCTCGACGGCCTCGTCTCGCCGGGGGACACCGTCGCCGTCTTCGGCGTCGGCTCCGTTGGTCTCTCTGTAAGTGATCTCCTCCGAGTTTGGAAACTGAATGCATATGTATAATATTATACGTGTAAGTGTAATAATCCAGTGAAAATCGCGCTTTAAAACTTAAAAGTTTATGCTTTTACCTTTTTAGGTCACAAAAACGCTTCTATCGAGAATCGTGATTTTCCTTTATAAATGTAGTCAATATCTACGTTTTAAAACATAAAACTTACGATTTTACGCTTATAGGTCACCCAACCGCTTCTAGGTAGAATCGCGCTTTTGACTAGCTAGATTGACGTGTCATGTCGAATTTGATGCATTGTAAATATACAACGTTTGGTATGTGTAATTGTGTGTATGTCACATCAGCTAAAAATCGAGACAAAACAATCTCAACTCAACTCAACAATCATAATTAAAACATGTGATATATTACAATCACTCATTATAAGTGATAGTTTCGTCACATAACAGAAACAATCCATGTATTGTTTCTGCTAAAGAAAAAAATGCATTTCTAAACAATACATGTATAGTAACAAAGAGCCCTCCTTGGTGGTCTTGAAAAATCATTAGTGTGTGTTTTAATTGTTAAATATGCAGTCTGTGATAGCGGCGAAGGAGCTCGGAGCGAGCAGAATCATCGCGATCGACAGGAACGAGCGGAAGAGGGAAGTGGCGTTGTCTCTGGGGGCGACCGATTTCATCAACACCGTGTGGTTGGAGGGTTCGGCCGTCTCCGACAAAGTGAAGGAGCTGACCGGCGGGGTCGGCGTCGACGCCTGCATTGAGGCCTCCGGCTCCGACGGCCTCATGAACGAAGCCTTGAAATCTGCCATCGCGGTATATACACCACCACAACTACGAGAAACCACACTCTATTTTTTTTTTTTGGCGCGACCACAAAAAAAATTAAATTCGTCGCAGAAAGTGCACTTTTTATCACTCTTTTTCTCTCACAATTGTGTTTGTTTTGGCGACGGACGGTGATCATTAGGGCAAAAACAAGACGGTGATTTGCGGGGCGGGAATCTTTCCGGGCAACAAGCTGCAATTGGATTTCTCGACGTTCCTGTTCGGGAACAAGCTGGCCGGGTGTATTTACGGCCGGGTGAAAATAAAATCCGACCTCCCCACTGTGTTCGAGAAGGCCAAACTGCCGGTATATCTAATTTAAATTTTAAACCACATTACTCTTAATTAATTAATTAATTCATGACTTGTCATTTTTCATTTCTAATGTTTAATTTGGATGATGCGATTTAATGGGCACGTGCAGCATATTAGGGATGGGATCAACAGGATTCTGGCGTACGATGAGGAGACCGGGGATTGCGGGTTCCAGGTGGACATCAGGGACGGCAGCGCCGCCATCTACACCGCGCTGAACGACTATCTGGATGATAAGGACTCCATCAAAATCGTCATCAAGCTCAACGATGATCCCTTCATTATCCCCAAGGAAAACAAAGCTGGAGGACCGAAGAACGGTGTGGAACAGGATTCGTGAACATGCGGTGTGCAACTACTACGTACTACGTACGTACGAACGTACGCGTACGTAACAGTTGTTGTGTTTTTTTTTCTCTCCAGTATTTGTGTAGAGACGCTGAATAAATCGATGCATGGTGGGTGTGTACGTATGAATGTAATGTCGTCATAGGTACACATACCGTGATTGCTTGCGCGTCTATGTGTTTCAATATTTTCGTGTTGTTGTTGTTGATGATGATGATGTGTTTTGTTGTTATTGTTGAATGTTGATGATGTTGTGTAATTCGTTGCAGTCTTTGTGGTGTGTACTGCTTTCGGAATTAACTGTACTACTAGTCATTGGCTTATGTATATAGCCAAGATATCAATAAACGGATTGCTTGTAATTTTTATTAGACTATTGTTGCTCGTGCAAAGCGTAGAAATTATGGACAAAATCATTTATTTTTGGAGGAAGCTTTGGTGATATTCCGATTCAACCCCGCTTTGAAACCAAAACCACAAAGAACCAGGACTTGCAATTCTGACAAGGGTTGTTCAAATGGTTACGATAGTTACCAAACTAAATAAGGCAAAATTCTATTAACTATGGAATACAATATCATAACTAAACCGTCCAAACTAATACAACAACCAAATTAACCAAACTAAAGTTTAGTCGGTTTGGTTAATTGGTTAATCAGATTAACCAATATAACATCACATTATCATTAAGTGAGAAATTTTTTGGTTAATGCATCAATTCACAATTTATACACATTGCAATGAACACATAGTTATAGTTAACCATTACAAAAATACATGCAACAAATATAATTATCTTACGGTCAATAGAAGTATTCACCTAACAAAAATATATGTCAATAGTACGGAGTTAATTAATTGGTGGGATTGTGTGAATTGAATTAGTCTCTTAACAATTAAAATAGGTTGAAAATACATTATTTCAAGTTTTCATGTAATATATTGTTTGAATTTTGTATAAATTGGGCGTTCATATATCATGGTATACACTTGAAAAATACAAATATACAGTATATGAACAATATTGAGCTTTATTTTTGATGAGCCTAATAGGAAGAAATGTTTGGCTCTTGAGCGGTTATGCCAAGTATTAAGTATGTGTATAAAATATATATTAGATATATAAATAATTACTTAACTGGTTAATTTAGTTTGAATGGTTAGGAGTGTCTGAAAACAAAACAAAAAACCATCTAAATCAAACAAGCTAAAATTTTTAACCAAACCAAACCAATTATCCAAATTAACCAAACCAAATTAGCTAAATACTACGAGTTAAAACAGTTACCATGGCAACCACGCCATTTGAACACCCCTACCCTGACACTACAACCAAATAGTGAAGTAGTAGTGTCATTTTTTTATACTATCAGCAATAGTTAAAACGGTTGATGAAATTTTTTGAATACTACCAATTGAATGTCGGTTACTCCTTATTTGTTAAATTTTTTCACGACCCTTTTGTTCAGCTAAGGGTTTCTTTGAAGTCCATCATTTTAATTGCAGACTCTAGTTGATTGCCATCCTTCTTTAGGCGGTTCACCATGAAGAATAAGCCACCTTAGTCTGCACCTTGCACCTTTTAGGCTTTTACCCCACCCTTTGATTTGTGAGTATTGTGAACGTTGTAGAAGTAACGATATAAGGAGGGACTCATGTATTCCCCTCTTTGGGATAGATAAGATTCTACGATCTCATGAATCTCTAGAAATGAGAGGTGTAGGGGGATCATCACACTTGGTCTCTTCCTCATGGGTGTTTCCAATGGTTGTGGATGCCTCGGTAGGTGTACTACTTGTGGATGAAGATTGAAAAAGGCTTAAAAAATGTTGGAAGCCCTCGATGGGTGTAAAGCCTTCAAGATCTTCCCACGAATCCAAGAAAGTTTGGATTAGTGTAAGTTCTTCAATACTGCAGCCTTCTCCTCCATTGTTTGTTCTAGGGGCGGTATCTCATCCTCTCCTTCCAAAGATTGAGTTGTAAGATCATCTTTTTCCTCATCAAATTCGTTGGTCTTTAGATGATCTTCCTCTTGAGGTTCCTTGTTAGTTTAATCATTATTCTTTTCTTGGATTGTTTGAAGATTGGTGATCTTCGGCTTCCATGTTTGGTATGATGCTTTCATCGTGTTGTGAGTAGATGCCTTCTTCCTTTGCATCTTCCTAAGGGGGTCTCTTACTTTCTTCTTCTTATTCCAAAGATTGAGTTATAAACCCATCTTCTTATCCATCAAATTCGTTTGCTTATGATGATCCTCCTCTCCAGGGTCTGTAATTGCTCCGTCTTCTTCCTCATCAAATGGGTTGGCCTTGAGATGATCTTTCCCCTCTCCATGCTCCATGAATTCTTCATGTTCCATAAGCCCTTTGTGAGTATTGATCTCTCCAAAACCTTCATGCATATCATTGGAATGTCCTTTATCTGCTTCGAGATGCTCCTCGGTGATTTGGACATCTTCTAGTAGCTGTTTTAGTCCTTCGTCATTGATGCTATCAAAGATGCTCCTAGGAGGTTCTGAATTAATCTCGTGTCTTTCATCGGAGAATATCTAGAGCTTGTTCCATCTCCTCTATAGTTGGGTTATCGCTAGATGTTTCTCTGAGTAGCTTCACATCTTTTGGAACCATTCCCTTACTATCCCAGTTGGCATGAATCTGTTGTTCATAGTAATATATTGGTGTAGGATTGATGTTGCTTGCCTCAACCTTTGATGTCTTTGGTTTAAAGTACTCAAATATAGATAGGACGTCCATCTTTCTTCGAATGATGCTCCTTCCTTTTGGTATTACATTCTTATATGGGCTATTATGGCTTCCTCGAGTTCCAATCCTACAAAACAAAACCAACTAGAGCATAATAATTTTCTTTTATAACACAAATCAAACACAAGAGGTTAGTTTCTTCAAATAATATAAAAAATTCATCGGTAATGGTGCCAAAAATTTGATGATCACAATATAGTGAAATGCAAGTAATAAAATCTTAGATAAACTAGGATCGGATTTCATGACGTATTTTGATGGAAGCTACTCAAGCCTAACAAATTATGCTCGAATGATAAAGCAAATAAAAGTAAATGAAGTGGGTTGAGGTGCCCTTGATCGAAATCATAATCTACACAACAAGAATGGAATGACATCTAGAAGAAAAACTCATTAATTTGATGCTTGTATGCATCATCTATTATGGTGTCATATCCCTTACACTAAGGCCATCATACTCCAGCTTTCGCCACATGCAATAGGAACTTGACTAGCTAATGCGTGCTTTTGCTTAATGTCATCACCTAATCAATGAAGAAAAGTTAGGATACAATATGGTTAAGTGTGGACTCTTGGGGCATAACCCGTACTCTATAGCATTGATGATTTAACAATCACCCATCAATACTACTCGAGGTATAGATGGTTTGGTCATTTCCTCTATACTCGTGTAGCATCCATGAGGTATCACTAGAGGGTAATTTCTTAACAATCTCTATAATACTAGGCACAACGCATATAGTAACACATAATATAATTATAAGCATCGAAATCTAAAGCATCGAATAACATAAGCAATAGATGATACAAGCATAAATTGATTTAGCAATGCATAGGAGAATAGGAAAGACATCACCAATGATACAGGCATCGATGGTGAAGTCTCCTCGTCAAACTCTAGCAGGACACTCCTCTCTGTGGAATTTTGTAACTCGTGCCCCTAGGGTATAATGCTGGTAAAAGGTGTGTGTATGAGGTCTATCCTACGCCTCTATTTATACTAGTTGAAAGAAGGGGTTTTCTAGGCTTTTTCCTCTAAAAGACAGCCAAAAGAGTCCTTGTACTACCTGAGCTCGAATTCCTTTGACTTGAGGATGAACTAAGCTTGAAGAGGAAGATTCTGGAGCTTGGGCTTGAGTTGCGGTCGGACCTGTTACTATTTTCCATATAAAAAGTCGGCTAAAGCTTCGTGCGAAGGCAGGAGTGCGGATCTGGTGACTAAGGGGGGGTGCTTAGTCACTTGACTAAGCCCCTCCTAGCCCTTAGATCTGGACACTTCAATCCAATGGTTAAAAAGTGGGAAAGACTATTTAATTAATGACAGGGGTAGTTTGGGTATTATGGAAAATTATGAAGTATACAAACCGGGTTTACAATCAGTACAAACCATACAAACATACGAACAATACAAACTAGAGCGACAAAACATACAAACAGATTTACAAACATTATAAACGTATGAACTGTACAAACAATACAAACTAGACCGACAAACAATACAAACCATACAAAAAGAAAAAACAACCGGGTTGACTTTTGAGGCTCCATCCCTATATAGAGGGGCTCCTTCCCAAAGTCAACCCGGGTGTTTTTTAGACATACAAACAGTACGAACATGGTGGACAAAAATGACAAAGTTTACAAACATGGTGCACAAAAATAACAAAGTTTACAAACATTACAAAAAAAACGACAAACATTACAAAATAACAAAGCATACAAACATTACAAAATATGTCAACAAACATCACAAAATTAGCACTGTCGTTGGGAAATTTTTCTCCGGCGACGATGTTCGCCGGAAAAATTTTCCGACCAAAAAAATTCTCTCTCTCTGGGGAATGGAATAATGATAATGGCGCCCATGTATTCTTTTTTGGAATGGAATAATGGCGGAAGAAAAATAATGGCGTGCCCAGGAAGTCGGAGACCACGCAACAGACGGGGAGGGGAGGCCGGAGACGGCGCAATTAATCGGACGGGGAGGGAGGCGACGCAAAAGGATCCGACCTTGAATTTTTTTTTTATTTCTTTTATAATTAAAAGTTAAAAATAAACATAGAATTAATACATTGCCCTTCATTAAATTGGATTAATAGGAGCTCTTGGATTTTAATGAGGTTGAGTGGCTGAGATTCACTCACCTGATCTCAGCCCGAAACAGGGGTATAAAATATAAATGGCTGGTGGTGTCCGGGAGAAAATTGGCAGAAGAATAAAATAATTACAAAAATGGCGGCAGCTCTGCCGGACGAGCTATGGAGGCAAATCCTAGAAATTGGAGTCCGAAATTCCAGCCTTACATACAAGGACTTATGTTGCGCCTCAATTTCCTGCAGTCGCCTCCACCGATTGTCCAACGACGACTCAATTTGGTCCTGCGTCCTCGCTGCCGATTTCCCTGTGCTCAAACAGCAGCAATCTCAAAACCCTAACTTGTCGGTACCTTCCTCAGCCAAATCCTTATACAGAATCAGGTGAGACAGAGGTTGGGCGTTTTAGCTGTTGAATTTCCATTGGGTTTCCTCTGTTTGGAGTCAAAGCTTGTTGCTTGGGCAGCTTTGAGAAGGAGAGGGACAGGAAGATGGCGGCACACAGAAGGGCGGTGCTTAGAAAGGAAAGCCAAGTTTTCGAGCGTAGAAGAAGGTTAAAGGAAACCGAGAATCGATTGTGTCAGGAGAGTGAGAAATTGAGAGCTGCAGCTATGGAGTTGTCCAATTTGCATAAGGTCAGGTAATCCATTTGCTTGATGTAGAATATTTCACACCAATTTTTTGTCGGGTCATGGTCATGTTGGAGTTTGGGATATATTACCTTGTCTCTCTTCGAATGGTAATCTAAAATGGGGAGATGTTATGGAGTCAGAATTCAGGTATCCCTGAAAAAAGATGCGAGCTTTGAGCTGGGAAACTTACTGGCTGCTGAATCTGATCAGCCTTGAGTTGATCTTAGTGAATTTCTGGAAGTTACCACTTGTACCTTTGAGGAGAGAGCATCAGCTGTTTAGTAAATCATGACCGATTTCACGAATAGCTAATGAGATTGTGACTGCAAATGGGTTAGTCCATCACCAAATTAACCTGGATTAACCGTAGACGATGGATTTAGCATAGAGATATCATTTAGATCGCATTGATGCTTTTAGGATTATTAAACATGGAAACCTCACCGTAGCCTGTTTGTGATCAGTTGTAAAGCGTTGAATTGTGTGATCTCGACCAGTGTCGCCCTTTTTACTTTTATTCAGGCAAGCTTCCGTGGCTCTGAATGTGTGGCAGCCACAAGCCGTTAGGGGAAGACAGAAGCAAGTAGTAGAGCAGTGTTCTGTTCCTGTTGAATCTCAGTTCAATTCTCTTGAAATGGAAATCAAGCTTTGCAAGCAGCAGATTGCTGGGTTGAAGAAGACTCATGTAAGTTGAAGTTTTATACATTGTTGGAGGACGAGAATGGGGTTTGCTTATACTTCACTGTCTTTTTACAACCCAGAGAGATGAGCAACTTAGGCTTGAAGCAACAGAAAGGGAGCTGCAATCAATGAAGTACCATCCATTACAAGAATGTAACAATGCTGGTGGTGAAGGAAGTAGATCTATCCCCAAGAGGAAGAAACTGATGAAATCCATCGCCTGTAAGACATCTTATATGAATGTTTTTCGTATACTCGCCTTGCTCAGGTGTTTGCTCACTTACATCTTTGGGTTGGCATTCTCCTTCCATTGCTTTGTTAATACATGTGCAGTCCCTCAATTGCAGCGCGAAGCATCCCGAGAGGACCATACCTAAATTGGCTGCCTCAGCTGATTTGCCTCTCATTTAGGCAATTGGTCGATGTTCAGTTGGGAATCAAATACCTTATGTTATGCCGAATTTGGCCGCCATAGCTTAGAATGCAGAAGTGGATGTTTCCTTAATGCATATGAGTTCGATGAAGCTCGGCTGGTGAAGTGGCAACTTCCAGAAATTAACTGATAAACCAACTCAAGGAAGCTCTGCTGGTTCCGGAAACCGAGACATTCAGTTGTATGTCTGACGGAGGACTTTGATGGATGAATCACAAGCTCAATACTTGTACTACACGCAAAGAGGTCCCTGGGTCTAGCAATGATGTACCTAAATATTTCAGGGTATGTTCACGCTTATGAGTTGACTGTTGACGCTTATGTTGTTGATGAAATTACAGTAAAATACCATATAAAAATAGCAAACTTGTTATTTGGGGCCAATTACCACACAAATACCATTTAATATAGAACTTGTTATTTGGTATGTGATATTTGGTCTCAAACTTGTTATTTGGGAAATACTTGCCCTCTCAAATATTTGGCAAACACTTTTTGTGTTATTTGGTTTCAAACCTGTTTTTTGACAAAGTACCACATCAAAATAACACCTCATTTTTATCAGCCAAACATGTTATTTGAGGTCAAATAGCACTCCAAATATTCAATCCAAATGACTCCTAATATAGTATGAAAATTCTCCTCACGCCTTCTGATTCTCTTTCCGTAATTGATTCGATCTTCCACGATTGGACTCCTTCGGGCAATCGTTACCATGCAAAATGGCAGTCTGGTGCTAGAGCGCCTACGTGCTAGATGTTCTTATGAGCGTATCTTTGGCTGCTTTGGATAAAGTCCTATGCTTCCAACTATCAAACTTCTGCTGGAATTTCTTCTCAATGGATAGAAATGCATCTCTCTTAGACTTGGCTAAGATAGAAGGTAAACCAAGATATGAACTCTACAATACTACCAACCCCTAGTTGAGTACCCATTGATTGTGCAGCACCCGGAGGGGTAATACGAATGAACATTACTGCGGATTTGGCTAGATTAACTCTTTGTCCACTTAGTACTTCATACACTTGCACATGAAGTGGATGAGGCTTCAAGTAACAAAAAGGAGTCATCTGCAACGAAAAAATGGGAGAACATCGGGCATGATGGCCGGACTCGCACTCCTTCCAAGAACCCCATAGAGACTGCCTGACTCAACAACCCAGAGAAGCCTTCTTAGCATATAGAGAATAACAGAGAGGAGAGGGGGATCCCTTGTCGGAGTCCTCTAGAGGGTCAGAAGTACTCTGTTGGGTTACCATTTATGACGATAGAATAAGAAACCGTAGTAACACATTCTTTTAGTGAACGGCTATTTGCCGCCAACCAAAAAAAAAAAAAAAATTTGAATTCAAATTTTGAATTCTCTCTTCCTTCCCTTCCTATAAATTCGAATACCATAACATTTGACTCATTCCAACAAAAGCACTTTTGTCGACGAGCCCAGTGCCTCCGTCGCCGGCACCGTTCCTCCGTCGCCGGCCAACCTCCCGTCGTCCTCAATCGTCGGAAAACAAGTAAGTTTACTTTTTTCGGCAATTTTTTCAGTTTTCCGGCGAAAAACATGGTGGGCCGAAAAAAATTTGCGGCCGGGACGTGGCCGGGACGAAAAAAAAATTCGGCCGGCGCGACGCCTAGCCGAAAAATTCTTTCGGCCCGGCGACGTTCCAGCCGCAAATTTTTTTCGGTAAAAGGTTTTCAGGTCGAACTGCCGATACGGTATTTTAATCCTTGATTATATCTACAGTCACTATGTCTCGTCTATTTTGTACTTGATCGGCATTTAGAGAGAGATATTGGCAATCCTTTGAATCACCGAAAGGGTCATTTGAAGTCACGTGTTTTCCCTCCACTACTCTTACCGTCTTACCTGGGTTCTCGCTAAGCCAGCTAAGCTATACCAATACCATCATTTTAATTGACCTCTTTTAGATGCAAGACTTTCGTGACATTAATTTCCCACCATTTTTACACATTTTTTTTTTCCATTTCATTTCCTTTTCATCAAAAGAACAGAATAGGAATGCAACTCATAAGAGTTCACGATTGACAAGTGATCATGAGAAACCATGCAGAATCATGCATATATCTTTTTTAACTACATACCTAACCCTAGCCACTACTATGTTATGTAATGTTCCTTGCTGCTTCATGAGTGCATTTGGAAGCAACCTAACAAACTATAGGGCACCCACAGACCACAGTAGTAGTCAAATAATCAACCACTCGAATACATGAGTTTCGACACAGAACATTTCATGAATGATGCCTTTTTGAGAATACAAATTTGGCAGATTGAATTCTTGACCTTGATCACTATGAATTTTATGCATGAGAATTGAGTTTCAACCAGGTTACAGAAAGAAATGAGATGTTTTCTGGCTTCTGAGTTTTGTATCATAAGTATCACCCAAATTAACCTGCTATAATCATCTACAATGGTGAGAAGATTCATGAGTGCTTCATACTGATCCTTTTGGATCATGATTCCCTTCTGAGCTTGATTCAGTTCCTATGGCTGCATTTGCCTGCATGTGGTTTGGTTTACTTGTACCTCTTCCTCGAGGAGTCATTCCATACGGTCAGCCATGCTTGTGTTAGCATGTGTCTTTAGTATGACCATGCATCTTGCAGTATGCAAGACGATCTTGAGCCAGGAGATCTGCCTCTTCCCTGTCCAAGGTTGTCAACCCGGTTTAACCTGTTGGCCCGGTCGAGTAAGTAAGTTGAGGGTTAATGGGCTGACCAGTTTAGCCCGGTTCAGCTAGGTTATATGAAAAATTCATTATATTGTTCACTTTTATAAATTATATCAAATCTCAATTAACATGTGAGTAATAACATATGACATTACACTAAAATAACATGTCGTACTTGGATCTAATATTTAGTGAAAACACACACTTATATAACATAAATATTGAAATATTCGACTTAGAATTCCAAAGATAGGTTTAGGCGAAGAAAAAAACCGGAAAATGGACACATTTAACAAACAAATGGAAAACGACTCGGTGGATGTGTTTACGACCCATTTTTCTCACCAGGTCAGGGTCAAAACGGGCCAATCGATGGGTCGACCCGCTGGTTGACAACCTTGGCCCTGCCTCTTCCTCCAGTGCTAGAAGCATGGTTGTAATTCCATTCAACCATTTGTTGATCTGGAAATTTCATGCCTAAGGATCGTAAAGCCATGGCAAGGGACTCGACCACTTTTTGTCTTGTTGATTTCCAGTCATCTATCTCTCATTTTTTTTTCTATAGCAATCTTTTGTGTATATAATATATAACCGGATATTCAGGCAATCCATCTTGATTATTTTGTATCATTATTTTGTATAGTATAATACAACACTTCACTTTAGTAGATTTTGACTGATTTATCATATTTCTCTTTTTTTAGCCATCTTATAAAAAAACTGATTCATCGTAGGCAATGATTATGTGAAAAGAACTTGAGATCTAGGTATCGAGTAGTTTCATTTAACGTCTTAAGAAAATGAACAATCAGGTAGGTTTCTAAATGAGGTCTAACAGTTTTACTGGCTTCACAATCACTATGACTTGTAGTTGGATGGAGTAAGCTTCCGTGATACCAAAATCTGACCAGGTTCCTCAGATTCATTAAGGTAGTATGGATCTACAAGTGAGTAGCCTGTGACAGATTTGGTTCCGCTTCCTAAGGTTTGTGTTCCTTCTGCCATTGTTGACGGGATTGGTAGATTTCAGAGATTGAAAAAAGAGTAAGAAAAGGAGAAGGATGGAAGTGGGAGTGATAACACTCGAATTGGTGTTATTTGGATCCCATATTTAGCTTTTCTTTGAGTAATTTTATGTACTTCGTTGCCAATTTGTTATCAAATATACCATTGATTCGTTTGTATGAGAAAATATCGGTATTCTAGGGTGTATTAGATTATATGTACGATTTAGGTACCAGAAAGTGTGTACAAGTGTAGAGATATGGACAAAAATCGAGAGATCATGGCCAAAGGCAAGAAGATCTTGTTCACGAAGAGACGACATGAACTAGAGCTACAAGATCGCGGCCTCTGCATTGAAGATCACGACCACGAAAAAGGAGGCTTCAGGCGTGATTTTTTGGAGCAGCCAACAAGGAAGAAAAAGAAAGTTTTAATAGTGGACTCGCGACTTTCTACATCAGAGCCCGCGATAAAGATCGCGGTCGTGACTCACGAATCGTGGTCGCGACTCAAGAATAATGACCGCGACTCAAGGATCGTGATCGTGAATTCGGGCCGCGAACTCCTCAGTCAGGGAAGTGCAAAATCGCGACCTCGTCCTCCAAGTTCACACTTGTGACTTCGCTCCTCCGGTCGTGAACTTGCCCGAATTCCTGAAATCTATAAATAGGGGGTTCTTCCCCTTCATTTAGGGAGCTGAAATCAATTATGAAATTTCTGGTTTGAGAAAGAGAAAGTAGAGGGAGAAGAAGGAGGAAGGGAGCTCTCCCCAATTCAAGTCTTCTTCAATTTTCTCTATATGTATCGTATTCCCTCCTTTATGGTGTAGTCCTCTAAAGTACTTGGGGTTTAAAACCCCAAACCCTAGATTTAGGTTTTGAATGTAGATGTAATTGTGTTAGGGTTTGTGAATGAATTTGTTTGTTTTAGTGATTTTATGGTTGATTATGCTGAGGCTTGTGTCTCCCAACTCTTCTCTATTAGCCTACAACTGAGTCTACAAAACCATTGATTATGCTGAGGCTAGGCTAGTTTGGTTGAAACCATTGAGAGGAACTAGTGTTTATTCCTTAGTACGCGAGATTTGAATGAGGCGACAATGAGTCTCTAAGAGCGTACTAGAAGTAACCTAGGGTATCAAAACCCATGTAAGACAACCTTGGTTACCACTATATTAGCAACGCCATTTTGAGTTATACTTTTCTCGGAATGGGGTAGTTAATTAGGTCGTGCAAACAATTGACATGACCCGCACGGTGTTCGACCAGAAGGTGAGCGAAGGAAGGGGTAGAGAGCTCATAACCATACTCTAATACCAAAGCAACATTTTGTGAATTTAGGGTTTGAGGATTCAACATACCTTAACCCTTCTTCTCATTTACTCATTTATAGTTCCGATCGATGTACAATCTAACTGTGCGCGAAATTACAGTTTGTTTAGCCCACTCTCGAATTTTCTTGTTGACGTCAGCGTCTTGGTTTCTACGCTTCTCGATAAACTCTGGGCTATTAAAAATCTTGTCAAAATCTTCTCGCGTTCCTGTAGAACCCTCTCACTTTGCGAAAGTATCGCCTGCTGAAGACTCTTTGTTCGTCTGGGTATAGCGGTCGAAAAAACTTAAAAGTCTTTTCAAAACCCCATGTAGATACAAGGGATTGTACATCCCTGTCTGATATGCTTTTTTGGTGAAAATAGCGTGCAATATCATGTATGCGAGGTGATTGGTAAAAGGTTTGCAGTGAAAAGGAAAACAGGGAAAACAATAAAAACGGTCGCTCTCCTGACCGTTAGGAATGAATCGTCAATCGCAACGAGACGTGTGCCCTCCTGGATTGGGATTGGCCATAGTGGAAAACGGCATCGTTTGCTGTGATTGGAACTCCTCTTACTTCTGGTTCACGTTTGAGGCTCGACGAAGAAGAAAACTCACCATTTTTTCTTATGTTACTATGTGAGGTTAACTCATTCCATGCGAAGTGACTATCCTGTTTCCTCCTTCCACAATTCAAAGCCAAAATTTAAGGGGTCGTTTGGAGAACAGGATTCAGGACATGGATTCATTGAATCCGTAGATTTTGTAGAAAGTTATGTTTTTTTGTTACTTTTTGTATTATGGATTCTAGCTTTAGAGATTTCAAATCTCTAAAATCTGCGGATATCAAATCTCTCATAACCAGAGAGATTCTGTATCTTGATTCGTGAGATTTTTTCTCTCCTAATTTTTCTCTTCCTTTTATTTATTTATCACATGAAATATATTTATCAACAAAGTTTTTTTATATTTCTCGAACCACTCTAATTTTTTATTAAGGATAAACATGTTATTTAATATAAAATGAATTTTTTAGTTTACTTGATTGTTAACAATCACAGTTACCAAACAATAAACATTTTAAAATCTGTTTTCAACAATTCGAAGAGTTAGAATCTTTAGATTGTTGATAATCTGTAGATTTAAACTCATATTCTCCAAACGACCCCTAAGTACTTGTTTAGCATTCCACTAAAAAAATAATTATGGTCTTAATTTGATTAGGACCGAACTAGTATTTAGTAGGGTACCCTCCCTACCCGACCCATAATATTATTCCTTAATTTCAGCAGCTAAAGGTAGGTGTGTGGGTGCTCCTCCTAATTAATACTCATTTGACTCTACAAGACACTTCTTTATTTTTGTGCTTCTCATTTTGATTTGGATCTTTTGTTGTAAAATTTTCAACCTTAGAAGAAGAAAAGAAAAAAAAAAGTAGGCCTACAAACATAAATGTAAGCATAGACTTGATGTGCAGCCTCACGTCACTCAAAAATCACAATAGTTTTGATTTGTCTTATTGACGAATTTGGATGGAGTTCTTTGTCACAAATTTATTGGTAGATTTGATATCTATATCAAAATCTCTCAGTTATTTGGGTTTGATTTTCGTGAATTGGTATACACAAAAATTTGCAAATACTCATTTGAATGACCCGAAAATATCACATAGGTAGGTAATATTTTGTTCGAAATTAACACAGAATTGATTCTCTTTCACCTTTCTCTTTTACATATTTCAATAAAGTAAAATAAAATTGCATTTTTTTTAATTCACCTTTGTACAACTAGAGATTACAAAACAAAACAAAAAACAGATGAAGTGGGTAAAACTAAGATTTATTCCATCATTCACAATTCCATTGACAGATAATGAAAACAAAGAGGTTAATCACAATCTTTCTGAAAAATAACATACAAAGAGAGATCCCATCTTAACTCATGAACAGAACCTCCCCTGAAATCCAAATCAATTAAGAAAAAGGGAGCCATTGCAACCTGAAGAGCTCAAATGATGAATTATGAGACACAACTTCCCTTTTCTTATCTTCTTGTTATTTTAACTTCTTAAACCCTTTACACTTTCGTCGGTTGCCTTGGCTTTTTAACCTCAAACCACACACCAGGCCAGCAGAATTAACCTAGTACAGGAAAATGTGAAAAGAAAAAGGCCTAGCTTCCATGGTGGTCAAGAGAGCAATGCATATCAGAAAATGGAGGACATTTCCATATCTCCTCCTCCTTCCACTAGCCACTTCTCAAGGAAAGATAATGGAGGATTGCCCTGCTGCTGCTGCTTCATTTTCTCATGGTCCACTTTTCTGCTGTACTTCTCTTTCATCTCACCATCATCATCATTATTATTACTGCTGCTGATGTGGTTGCTTTGATCACCATTCAAATCCTCAAACCCCAACATGGACTCCAACTCTTCATCATTGCCAATCAGATCCATATCATCATGATCATGATCACCATGATCACTGTCTTGCTGCTGCTGATCCACCTCAACCTTTGGTGGTTTAGCAGTGGTGAGAACATTACCACCAGTTGTGAATCCGTTTCCAAAATCAGCCATGCTGTTGTTGTTGATGCTGAGCTTTGAGAGGTAATTGTGAGGACTCTCTACAGCAGCAGCCAGCCTCGAGCCTCCTCCGTTGGAGGCTTTCATCCACCCTTCCAGCAGCCTCGATATGTTCTCGGTGCTGGAAGCGTAGCTGGTCGTGGTGGTGGTGGAGGAGGAAGATGAGGTGGCTACTGCTGATGGCAGTGGAGCTGTGGTGGTGGTTGTTGTTGCTGTAATGGTGTTGAAACTCATGAATGGTGATGAATCCACATGCTGTACCTCGCTGGATGGAGCTGAAGATGGTGATGGCGAGGTTGACTGCAGTTTGTTCTTGAGCTTCTTCTTCAAGTGGGTGTTCCAGTAGTTCTTGATGTCATTGTCTGTTCTCTGTGGAAGATATGAAGCTATGGCTGCCCATCTGTGTTTTCAATTGTAAGTTGAGTAAAAAAGGAAATAGGAAAATGGAAGCATGATTGACTGAAGTTGGAAGGGATGAGGAGAAGAAGAAAAAAAGTGGATTACTTGTTACCCAATAAAGCCTGCAAGTGAACAATCATCCCTTCTTCATGAGATGTGAAGTTGCCCCTCCTGATCCCTGGCCTCAAGTAGTTTGTCCATCTCAGCCTGCAACTTTTGCTGCATCGCAGCAACCCTGTTTTGGGAAAGGAAAGAAGAATCACAATCATGTAAGAATGATGGAAAAATAAAAAGGTGAGTGATCAGGAAGTAGAGGCTCCTTACCAGTGTTGGTGGGAACTGATCTCCAGTTGCCAGGGCCATGTTCTTGGATGTAGGAGACGAGGATGATGTCTTCTTCAGGGGTCCATGGACCTTTCTTGATCCCAACTTTGTCACAGCAAGGTGGTCTTCCCATTTCTTCTTCTTCTCCTCCTCCTCCCCACAACTTCTGATGAATGATGAATGATGAATGATGATGATCTTTTTCAGTTTCACATTATATACAACTCCACTCTAAATTCAGTAGTACTAATAGTACTGGTACCTTTTATCTTTTTTATCCCTCTGCTGTTCAAGTCTCAGGCCTTGGACTTTGTTGTGTGATGAGCAAGTCTTGCAATACCAACTCTTATATATATATACCCACACACACAAATTTTTTTTCTTGGAGTTTTCTTTTTCTTAGAAGGAATTGTCTGCAGAAAATGTTGATCTGGCATCCATGGTGATTGGTGAGTCAGTCTGCTTGCCTTACCTCTTTATTAATTTTGCTATAAATATGGAGAGAGAGAGAGAGAGAGAGAGAGAGAGAGAGAGAGGCTTTAGTTTTAGCAAGAGTGGAAGAGAACAAAAGTCAGAGGGTGATTTCTTTTTTGTGAACATTTCCATGGATTGCTTGCTTGCTTTTTTTGTTCCCCTCTCCCTTCTCCCATGTCTCTTCTTCCTTTTGTTGGTCCCCGACTGGGCTCACGAGCCACACAGCATCTATCTCATGTCTCATGCCTTCACATTCTTCTTTTGGTGGCCTCGTCTTTTACCTTCTCCCTTTCCTTCTAATACTGTCACCACCAATATTTGCTATCTGTTTTTTGATACAAATATTTGCCCTTTGATGGTGTTGCGGGGTACAATGACAAGCGAGACCTAAGATATCGAACGAATATATCCGGTAGAAACGAGGGTCGTTAAGCTTGTTTTTATATTTTGCCCTAACTATAGATTATTTTCTCCGTTACACTTTTCGAATCTCCGGCACAGTTCCACGAGGAACTAATGTTTAACCTTATTTACTTGCTTCAAAAGCAAGTATTGCCGAGTGAAATACGCATCAAGTACTAGTGGTGAGCTTAAACAACTTTTCGATTGCGGTGGTGATTGATGAACCACAAAGAATTTTATGGGTTAATATTTTCGTATGGCCTGAACTTTGACCAAAATAAACATCCTGGTCAATCTTTTCAATCTATAACATCCTGGCCCAAATAGGGATGGCAACAAAACCCGAACCCACGGGTACCCACCCGACCCAACCCGGTCAACGCGGGTAAAATCCGTGTTGACGGGTTTTGGGCCTGGTTTGGGTTTAAACCCATTCACTATTCATCGGGTTGGGTTGGGTTTGGGTTTAGGTAAACCCGGCCCGTGGGTACCCGCCCACTCATATAATTAATTTTTTCGGTATATTTAATATTCTAAACAACTAATCTTATTTATGTTTGTGGATACATGTCTAATTTTTTTTTTTAATTGTAGAATGAAGTTGATGTTATGGAGTGGAGAGTAAAGAAACTTAATTGAAAGGAAGAAGCTTTCAATTAAACATGTTATTTATGAATAATTTGTGATTTGCCTCAATTTTCTTGAGTTTTCTAGATTGGTGTTGAACAATTTGTATAGTTTATTTGTGATTTGCTTGAATTTTCTAGAATGGTGTTTTATATATGGATAATTTGTATTGAGAGATTGATATTTGACTTTAATTTTGATAAGAACTTGTAATTGTAAATTTTTTACGACAAAACCCGTGGGTACCCATGAACCCGCGGATACCCAACGGGTTGGATTGGGTTTGAGTTTTTCAAACCCAGTGGGTTTTACCCCGGGTTTTTTTCAAAGATAAACCCATGGGTTTGGGTTTGGCAAAACCCGACCCAACCCGACCCATTGCCATCCCTAGGCCCAAACTATACACCAAAATAAACAATTTGGCCAGATCCGACTTTTGACCGTTAACTTGGACGGTCAAACGCGTTGACCGTTAGTCAACGCGCCATGTCACTGCCAAGTCAGCATAAAATATTTAAAATAATTCACAATTTCCACACATTCCTAATTTTAAATTATTATAAATTAAAAAAAATCATCTAATACCTCAGTTAAACCAAAAATAAAAAACGAAAAAATTAAATATTTATCAGATCTTCTGACTTGGCAATGACGTGGCGCGTTAACCGTTAGTCAACGCGTTTGACCGTCTAAGTTAACGGTCAAACATCGGGTTTAGCCAAATTGTTTATTTTAGTGTATAGTTCTGGCCAGGATGTTATAGATCGAAAAGATTGGTCAGGATGTTTATTTTGGTCAAAGTTTAGGTCATACGAAAATATTAACCCTAATTTTATAACAATTCTGAACATTTTTTCAAAAGAAGATATTGTCCGCTTCGGGTCTAGACTCTGACGATTTTTGACTTGAGGGTGCATATCAGGGTGACTTCCTATAAAGGTCACCCATCTTTGAAGCGCTCCACACTGAGCACGTTTAACTTCAAAGTTTCTTATAAGAACTCTTCTATTTCGCACCAGAACGTGTCTTATCAGTTAAGAACGATTTCTCGCGTACTTTATGAATGTGAAATTCGCCTAAGATGTTACAAATGTAAGATTGGAGAAACTATAAACATAAACAAAACAGGAAGAAAGAAAGAAAGAAAGAAGAAAAAAACGACAGCAAGAGATGAGCTGCAACCCAACGGGTCACAGTCTCGAGTATTTATGGGACGACCAAACATGGAGGAAATGTGAGACACTGTCCCAAACCTTTTTATTTTCTTTTATATCCTAACATACATCTCTTCCTCTACCCTCCACTCTGCTGCGGCAACAAACCTACCCCCAAACCAGCAATACGTATTTACAGTGCACATTATACATCCACACGTAAATTTTCATCAATGCATATCACAGCGTCATTGATAATTACAGGGATAAAATAACCACTTCCAATAACACTCGTTTGTATCATAATTCTACAATGTTCATAAGCATCAGTGCTTCCATGTAAGTTCAGTTTGTATCATACGAGTGTTTAAGTACGAGGAATTTTACAATGTTATATAGCATTGGTGCTATAGGTTTTTGTCTTTATGGTACAACTTGAAATTGTACTTTTAATATTATGGTACAAGCTTCGTATTGTACCTGTACTATTTTGTACAAATTCTTTATGGTAACAACTTGAACTTGTACCTTCATGTGACGGTACAACTTTACGTTGTAAAGTTGTACCCTAACATAAGGGTACAAATTCTTTTATGGTACAACCTGAACTTATTCATTTAATGTTATGGTACAACTTCAAGTTGTACATTAAAGCACCAATACTTTATAGCATAGTAGAAGTGCTCGGTGACCAGTTTTTGGATGAACAATACAAAATGCCACTTTTCATTCATTTCTGGCAACAAGGGAGAGGGGATCCCACACCTTTAAATAGAGAAGACAATTTCCTTAAGACAAGAGAGTGTCCCCCCAGTGTGACCTGTTGAAAGAGAAAGCAGTATATTGGGAGGCCTCAGTGTCTTTCTGGCTGAGAGCATAAGAGTATCCACAAATGAGTAAACTACAATTAGTGACCCTTCTTAACGACCTTCAAATTAGGGCAACCAATTTGAAGAAGGCCACCAACCAAGTTTAATTGTGGTAAACACTCCCCCAACCTTCGTACCCAATATTAGAAGATTTACCCATCCACACCAGAATTCATCTATAAGTAAATAGAAAAGAGTACAAAATCTTGAAAGACAAAGGTGAAATACAGCTACTGTAAAATACTAAACAAGCAACAACCATCGCCGTGGAACAACTTAATTTGTCTTAACTAGCGTTGGGTGGCATTCATGCTGGGAAATAAATTTTATTAACAAATGGAGGAAAGCAACAGGAGAAGGGAGAAAGAGAGCAAAGTTGGATGTGAGATCTATGAAGAGAAAATAAATCAGTTTTTTTTTCCAGGATGGTGGGAGAAAGGTAGAGGACTCAGGAGCACAGATAGAAGCAGACATTCTGTACTACACTACATATCAGGTAACGCAGGATACAGTTCCAGGCGATCTGAACATATCAAGAACATAAATATTCCGACGTCAACTACCTCTGCAAGAAAAAAAAGATCGCGTATAAATAAGTTTACCAAAATTCTGCTATTGCCTATTAGCCATCTGTGCTGCCCAAGGAGAAGAAACTCCGAGCTGGTATTTCAATCACCTGCAGAAAGATGAGACTGTCACCGGGGTGTTTTAGCAGCAAGGGGAAGAGTTGCCCTCCTGAATGTTGACTATGATAGGAACTTGCTTAACGATATATTTACTTTTCTTTTGGGAAGTAGGATTCATGCCAGCGGCCTTGAGAAAGGTGAAGAGCGGGAGTTTTCAAGCAGGGCAAGAAGCTATGTTGGCTGCATGTTCTCGACTTCTTCTAGCGTCGAGCGAAAAAGCGAAGTCGAAATGTATCTCTCGCCAAAGCTTGGAAATATTACCTGTCACGATGGAGAATGATGAATGCAATCAGATTGCTAACGGTGACAATTTCATGTAGGAGATGTAATGATGCAGCAGATAAGAACTAGTCTTCAGGCTGAGGTAGCGAATGGGTTTGTGCATTGGTTGTGGCCTGTGGGTTGCTGGCGTTCTCTCAAAATTTATAAGTTTGCGCACTGAAATGTATGAGCAGTTGGGTAAAATCTATAAGTATGGGCACTGACTTGTAAAATGACAGGTGGATTAGTTTGTTAATAACTAAAAGAAAGGTACTATAGTCTAAGTTCCCATTACCTGAAAGGATTGTCCGAATAAAAGCTAGATTTGAGTTTTGGATCAGTTTGTAAAATTCTAAATGTTGTTAAGACGCAAAATATGTAGTTACAACTTGTAGTTTGTAACCAAATTTTATGTAAATATACGAAATTTATGATGCTAAGAATGTAACACAAAATTATCAGATACTAAATAGTTTTTTTTCTTTTTTTCTGAAACCCATCAACTCAAATTCTAGTTACCCAGCAACCCAAAAGATACAGGACAGGTCAAATGGGTTTTAAGCGGATGGGTTGGTGGAGGTCGGGTTGCTATTTGGATCTCTACAGAGTACATGCAAAAAGGAAGGCAAACGTGGTACTTACTGTGATAAGTTTCCCAATATTCTCAGGCCTTCTTCCTAAAGCAATAGCCGCTGCTGCAGCAGCTCCTGATGAAATCCCGACCTAGAGAAAACGTAGAGTATAAGTTTCGATTGAAAGATTGCAAGAGCACTGCTGTATGCATGATTTTATAACTGCATATTGAGCAGCAGATGCCACAAATGTGGACATAATGAAGCAAATATCAGACGCTGAGATGATTACTTTCACATACCAGCAAGCCTTCTTCCAAGGCCAATCTCCTTGCCATATGAATTGCTTCATCATTTGTGATCTACAAAATTTTATAACAAAAACTCTTTTCACGAACTCTCGTCTAGCTATATACGATATAATAACTACAGCATTGCAGACATATCAACGAATTCCACCAGCTGAGAGTGACAAGCAAAGATTGAAGCAGGATGTACAGAGTTAAGATTTGGTTCCACAAGTTTTCAGCAATTATTATGTTGTAATGACAGATTAAGATAAGCATTAACCAGATGGTTCAAAGGAGAAGCAACCCGTCATGCAACCAACAGATGCAAGTATGAATGGTACACTAGTAATACCTTGATAACCTCGTCCAGCAATTTAACATCCAGGATACTGGGTATATAACCTGCATCAAACACGAAACCATAGTCAGGTGTCCTGCGATGTGCTCCAGTACAGACAACATCAGAATACTGATGAGAAAGCAGTAACTCTCACCTGTGTTTTCTCCTGAGACTACACTCCTCTCAGCAGGCTCTACACCAACTACCTAAGAAAAAAAGTGCTCATTATACAACAATATATAACAGGTTGAATAACAAAGTGCTCACAAGTACAAAACTCCGTACTGCAAGAAATTAAATGAATTTTCGTGCTCACAAGTACAAAACTCGATGATGGATATGTCACACTAACAACAAATTACGAACTTATCATCAGGTAATCGTTACATAATAGATCTCACATCTTCTACAGAATGTATTTTGGTGGCAATTCCAAACTTCAAAATCTGGTTAGCCGGCAATCGTAGAATTGAAAAGAAAATTTATGTTGGGTACCTAGAAAGAATGCATGATTAAGTGGCCTAGTTTCTATACCCAAGATGTGGGAAGCATTATATGCACATATACTGGACTTATGATCTGCTCCGCAAAAGTGAAACAGGGATGAATCTTGTTCCCCGTTTGTAAGCTTTTTCCTCACTCACAATTGTGCCCAAGAGACTGGAAGTGGCTCCCTAGGGCAGTTTGGTGGCTGTAACATGTTTTTGTTTTGTTTATCCTTTTCATTGTTCCAGATGTTTAGATAGATGAGAGTTTATGGGAAACAACACTTAGCAATACTCCAGTAGAAGGATAAGTTTTCAAATTCTGGAGCTGTTTAGAAATAATTGGTTTGGTAGTACCTCACCAAACAAAGTTTCAGAATGTATCGAATTGCAAGCCAGGACATTGTCAGAGATCTAAAACCAGCCATGTTTATCCTTCTACCTGCTTCTGTTTGGTTATGGAATACCTGCAAGGTATTTGTCTCTAAGATACTAAATAAACTAGTTTGTTCAAGCAAGCCTATGCAAGAGATTACAAAATTATGGCAGGAAAGCATCCACGGGAAATGAAAGAATATAACAGAGATGACAAGAAAAGTGATCCCAGAACTTCCATCAAACACAACGAAATATCGAGTGTTGCAAGCAATAGATAAGTTGTTCACCATTGTAATTTCTCCAAACGGCCATTCCTTAGATAACTATCACATGCTTATATGATATGAAGTGAAGCTGCAAACCTTAATTTCTTTGTTCATTGTTTTCAAGAATCGGCCAGCCCCTGTTATTGTGCCCCCTGTGCCAATTCCAGCAACAAGCATATCAACATTGCCAAGAGTATCCTCCCATATCTCTGGTCCTGTAGTTTCATAGTGAATCTGTAATTTATCACCAGAAACATTTCAATAAATGCCCAGTATGAGCACCTGGTAATATATAAATATACAGCATGTGATAAAGCAATACTGACCTTTACGTTAGCTGAATTATCGAACTGCCGAAACAAGTATGCATTAGGTGTTCTTTTAGCAATTTCTTCAGCTTTATCAACAGCTCCTTTCAAACCTTTCTCTGGATCGGTCAAAACGATTTCTGCTCCAAAAGCTCGCAAAAGCACCCTTCTCTCAAGACCAATTGATGCAGGCATAGTAACAATAACTTTATATCCCTTAGCTGCAGCAACAAATGCAATACCAAGTCCAGTATTACCAGTTGTCGGTTCAACAAGAATACTCTGCAGAAAGACGAGGTTACTACCTTCAGATTCAACTTTGAGAAACAATTTCTCATGTTCTGAGACAACATTTAAACCATCCAAATTGTATACAGACACACGAATTCTCCAGTTTCAGTTTGAAACTTCAACCTAGTAGTCCATGGAAGCAATCACCCTAAAGATCTCTAGACGTCCCCAGGATATAGTGCTGGGAGAGAAACAGTATCTGGGAGCCAAATGAGAAAATTTTATAGAAAGCCTAAAAGGATGGATGCAGTGCCCTGATTCAAAACAGATCTCAAGAGTATTGGTATTCTACAGTATTGTTCATCCATACCATTTTTTCCATATTTACATTAACGTAGCGAAAGAAATACCAATACAAGCTATATTGCAGTATCAGTGTCATCATTTTGTAGTCTACCACCACAGCAAGAGGTATACAACTCACCTTTCCTGGGGAAATCTTCCCTTTATCCTCTGCTTCACAAATCATACTGTGACCAATTCTGAAACAACCATATACAAGATGGTAGTTCGAGATTAGTTGGCAAGACCAATGCCCATTAGTATGCAAAAGATAAGGAAATCGCATCACATGAGCAAGGAAGAGATCACAAACATTCAGGCAATAGTGCCGCCCTAAGTTAAAGCATAAGCTACAGAAGTAAAGGAAGATTCTTTCGCATCAATATCACAATATGTGCCCGAGAAAGGAAAAAATAAAATTACCTATCCTTGACGCTTCTGCAAGGCTCCATGGATTCAAGTTTTGCGGCGACATTGGCCACACAGCCCTCAGTTACTTTGTTTAGATATATCATCGGCGTACCCCCAATCAACTATATCAATTTTGCACAACTGATCAAATGAGTAAAGGTTTTGAAACATAAACCTCGAACTGAAACTAAGTGAACATTGTGGAATTAGAATATGGAGACATCCAGAAGAACTAATCTATGACCAGCTGAAAACAAAGTTCATCAAACTTTCTAACCTACACTCAAAACTCAACAAGAACTACTCGTTCCTCTTAATTCAACTTCTCCTACTCTGAAAGATGGCAAGAATTTCTTTCGGCTAAACTTGAATTGTAATTCGTTCGCATTTCTAGTGAGCAGGAAGCCGCGCGCTAAGCACATAGCTTTTTACCTGTGTGACGTCCTCTGCTATGTTTACTGAAGCCAATTCTTCTTCAGGCATCCCCCTCCCTCCTCCTCCTCCACCATCTTCTTCTTCGTCTTTAGCCGCCACTGCAGCATGCAACACCGGGGACTTCGTTTTGGCATGAACCGCCGCCGTAGAAGCTTGTCTTCTTGAAGCGAAAGAGAGTTCCAGGGAAGGGAAACCGGAGAACTTACTCGGCGCAATAAAGCGGGCAGTGGGGATGGAAAGGCGACACTTACTCCCAGAACCAATGGAGATTGAAGGAGGGAGAGGCAGAGAAGTAGAAGTAGAGGATAGCGCCATTGTTGCAAAAGAAAGGAGAAAGAACGAGGGTTTTGTTTTTGTACTGTATTTTGTTTCGCAAAACAAACGGACAACAAGCTTTAGATAAAAAGATTTATGATAGATAGGTCCTCAACCTTGTACGATTAACAGAAAAGGTCCCTAATTCTTCTATCTCTACGTTTTAAGTCCCCTAACTTGCTGGAGTTGGGTTAATTAGAGTCGATATTCCCACGAAAATGCAAAACAAGTAAAATCACCAGAATGCTGCAGTGCATGATAATTTATTTATGTAAATATGAATTGGAGATGCTGGAAAATATACAATGAATTGTATACACATATCTATATGTGGAGAAGAAAGAAAAAACAAAGGTTACAAGGTATGGCTGTGAGATTTTGCTACATAGTCTTTCCATATGTAATTTGTTTATCCTGTAAGCAAATTGTAAGCAGGTAAATCTTTAACAGACTGGACATCTTCCAAGACGAGCTCGCGCTCCAACTGAGTCCTTGTGGACTTCATAACATCCTGCGCAGCATTCGCAACATGAACCAACGATACAAAACTACATCAGAAAGAAAGGGAGAGAGAACTCGAAGATCGGGGGGGAAATATGCAAGAGCTTACGTTAAACTCCATATACGTAGCACGCTTTGCCAGCCATTGCGCGTCCATCATCTTAAATGCTACACAGTAAAGGTTGTCGAAGGCCAACTCGTCATGCGCCAGCAGTTCCAGAAACCGGATTCCTGCTGCGGTTGAGGGCTTCCCTGCAAATTGGCGACTCCGTCACTCAGTATTTCCTTTCATGATTTGACAACAATAACGTCATGAAGCTAGCGAAGCATTGAAAAAAAAAAAACTAGCCTTTTTGAAGATCCAACATTTGTGCGAGCATAAAGGAAATGTTTATGCCAGCCACAGCAAATGGATACTCCCACTCAGCTCTCTTCCCGTCTATTTTGTGTAGCAGTCTCTGGAACGATATCTGTTTGACCAAACGTCAAGGCCAAGCAGTTAAGTGCAAACAGCTCGAACCCCAAACCGGAGCTTTTATCTCACTGAAGAACAAAGTGGTTCATTGGGCTAGAAAGACAAAAGCACAAACCGGATGTTTTGTTGCAAAGAAAATGAGGTTCTCCAGTGATATATATCCTCCACCCCTTCAAACAGCAAAGAAAATGTCCCAATCAGTCACGATTTCAATGACTACAGACTGCAGTAAGTAAATATAGAAGAGTCGCTTCAGGTAGAAGAATTATCTGCATACCGGAAATCGGTCGAGGGGTCGCAACCTTGCCAGCCCATTTCTTTCCAAAGCTCTGATTTAAGTGATGGGAGCAGCCTATCAGGATAAGCCAGCCTCCACAACTGTTTAAGTGCATCCTGCACACCCAATTAAGATGACCCTCATTGGAAGTTCTCACCTAAGTTTCAGAAAACACACTCCTCGAATCCCTTTTGACAACGTGATACTGAGGGGGCAAAAAGGGTCATACTTGACAGCATGAACTAAAAGAAAATAGAACAAAAAGGCCTACTTGATGCTCCAGTAGAGAGCCATCAAACGGTACTCCAAGTCGTAGCTTCAAATTGCTGAGTCTCTCCTCCTTCATAGACAAATATTTGAAAGAAACAAATTTAAATTATCAACAACCAGAATCATTAGATCTCAAAATCTATAAAACAATGCGTAGAAAACAATGCGTAGACAAGATTCTAGCAAAAGAAATCCCAGAAGATGATGCACATATAAAGCTAGCCAGAACAAATCATGAGAATGTGCTTGCACAGTATAACAGTTGAACCATACCGCAACACACACATCAGTTGTCCTGCAGATAACTTCTCCTTGAGCAAAAAACATAAAGTAATAAGAGGGGCAGAGCTGATTCTACATTCAGTAGCCTCAAACTTAAGTCTTAATCAAGAAGGATGTACCATTCCATCTGACATACTTCAACCAACATTTTCCAAATAAGCCAGTGAAATTTATAGAAAAAGGGATGCATAATTTCCCGGTTAAAAGAAAGTGACAAAACATGAATTGTGCAAACAAAATTATTATTCATGAAGCACGCAACTCAAGGTACTTTTTCCCAACAGGTGTACCTGTAGAGGGCTGAGACAAGGCAGACGAAGATTTGTGTTTGATCCAATGGGGTTGGAGGAAGCACCAGGTAAAAACCGTTCAATAAAAGATCTAGATCCGACGACAATGTTTGCTACAGAAGACAAGTGAACCTGTTACTCATGTGTGATAATAACAAATGTGACTTTGAGGATGACAAGCTGTTCAAAAATCAGAGAATAGAAACTGAGCACCAATTAGGCAAACAAAACTTCAATTTGAGCAATAATAGTGGTAAACTATACATGGCAACACAACAACAAACCTAGGATAAGTTTTCACAGCGTTAAGACTGCGGATCAGAAAGACAACTACTAAAATCAATGCATACACAGGACTTGAACCCTTATTATTAGAACGAGCAATCCACAATATGGGTATTCTGAAACCTGTAAGTTCACAAAGCTCTCAGGAAAAGAATTCATAACGACTTCATTGTAATTCCCATTCAGAGAGAGAGAGAGAGAGAGACTTCATTATAAAGTTCAAATTCAAATAGCATACCTAACCATTGTGCCCATTGTGCAATCACATGTGTAAACAGAAATGTCCAGTGGATTTGTTCCTTTGTCCTATCAGCATTTAGTAGATCTCCCAGAAACACCTAAAACAAAATGAACTTCAGTGCTTAGCACCCCACAAAGAAAGAAGAAAAATTCCGGGGAGAAAGAATCTCACCCCTTTCGGTTCGATTTGTCGCTCGTGAGACTGGAGTAATGGTTCGTCTAGCCCAGATATTTCATAATGCTCATTCCGCCTTCCATCAATATCTCCATGATGCAGCCTTCTTCTCAAGTTTGTTGACATACTGATATTAGGATGACCCTGGAAAACGTAAAAATATTAAAATATGAGGATTGGGGAAAAATGAATCCAAGTGAGCACAGAGAAAAATAACTTCGAAAACCTAAATCCTGTCGAACTTTTAGGCACAGGTTTATAGGGTGAACTGAATCTTATGATCACAAGAATTCTATCTCTTCGTTAATCCCATAAACATACAAAGAACTCTAGTTCTCCAACCTCCCATCCACATAAAGAAGTTGAAGCACTACTTTGGCTCCTTTATTGGCAAGTTAACTGCTTTGCAACAAATGGAAAGCTGCATATCCATAGAAACAAATTGTTTGCACAAATTCACTTGTTTTCCAGCATTCAGCATAACTCCGACAAGACCCTTCGTCCAACACAAACTACAAAATGCACAAGAAACCCTAAATCTACACGACTAGAAACACTATAGATCACAAAAACTCAGTAACGAAGCTATAAACCCAATTCCAGAACTCCTACATTTCAAGAATTCAACAACAAACACAGGCTTCCTTCCACTGAACTAAAACCCTACACAACCCTGGCACAAACAGTACAATTCCCGCATCCAACATCCTGCCCCGCCCTAAAAATCCCCCAATTCACAAATTTGACAACTACCCATTTAAAAGATAAACGCAAAGAGATCAGCAGCACAGCAGAAGAGTAAATGGGAGGAAAGCAAAAGAAGAACGAACACGCACCGAATGCCGGATAACAATGAAGCTAGGCAGTCACGCAGATACTTTGGTGGAGTTTGCTGACGAAGAATGCGAAAACACCTCTTCCAAGTAAAGGGAAGGCACAAAATGGAACTCGGGTTTTATAGAACTTTATTTATATATCGAGGAACGCATTATAATTAAACAATTATAAATAATTTTAGGGATTGATTACAATATGAATTAGAAAGGAATTAAAGTTTGAGATCAGAAAGATCTGATTGGGTCTCTGACGTTTCCCTCCCCACCTGTACGGGTGGTCGGTTCCTTCCCGGAAACAGATGAAGAGAGGAGCTTGGATTGAAGCCCTGAGAGAGACGGGATATGCGAGACCCAAGATTGTTATAGTAGCTTTACCAGCAAAATGCGAAAATTCTTTCTCTGACTTATTTTTTTTCTTTCCTAAATTAATTTCCCGTTTCTTTAAAATCTAAACAATTCAAAAAAAATATTATTGTTAAAAAAACATTATAATTATGGCCATTATACAGTAACTAAATATAAATATTAATTTTTTATCAAAACATTGAAAATTTATATGTAAGATCATTTATTAGGATAAAAAAAATAAAAGAGATAAAGTAGGAAAAAAAACCTCAAAAATCATGATGTAGAATCTATCTTATTATAATAAGATTTTTTTTTAATAATTTGCCTAGCTTATGTTATCACGGGATGGCCATAGCCTCGCAATCGTTTAGTAACAAGGGAGCTAAGAAGACAGGAGGCCTAGTGGTCCATGTCTCCTTAGACTCCCAACTAGCGCAGGACCCGGCCCGTTGGGCGGGTAAACTAAACATAAGCGTAGACATACTTATAACTAATATAAATTTCATTTTATTATTATTACTCTATCTAAAAAATTCAATTGTACATTGCTTAATTTTTTTTTTTTTCAAATAGTAGTTAGAAGTGTGAGAGAAGGACGGAAAAATGAGAAGGGAATTGAAAGACAAACACTGAATATCTTTTAGAATAAATTTTCTTTAAGCGAATAATTAAAGTGATGATTGATCATTTTGGTGATATAGATTCAGATTTATAGGAAAAACATTACAAACATTTTATATTTAAATTTAAATTTTTTGGCACATACTAATAGAATATAACTAAGAAGTCATTTCTAAATTTGCATTCATTGTTTTGTTTTAATGATTTTTAGATGAAAGAATGAAGCACACACGACCATGCAAGTCACAGAAGAAATAAGATGCACATATAATATGCTTAAAATATAAAAATAAGATAAGAAATACGGTTGGAAAATGAAATACACCATGACACATATTTAAGGGTAATGAAAATGCACCAAATTCTATACTACGATTTACAAAATAAATTAACACTCATAAAAGATGACTAAAATTACCATGTGCAGCTTGTTGAACCGTAGGTCTCAAACTCCTGTTCAAAATCACTCGTCGTCATTTCCAACAGACCATGTGTAGCATGTTGAAAAATGCATCTAAAATTATTGTGGTCAAAGAAACACGGTTGCATTTAGTTTGATGTATTAAAAATGGGCCGCTTGACTACGTTGATTAAGAATATCCCTTTCAGCAGCAGTTTATTGTCTGGATGGAGGTTTTGTCGGATTGAATAAGGCTCGCATCAACCCTAAAAAAGAACACGGGATTGGGAGATTAGTTGTATTTTGTGCCCACGTTGAACATGTAAGGAAGAATGGGACATAAAAAAATACACAGCGATCAAATTACATTGTCCCCTGAGGCCCTGACGAATTTGGCGAGCACTCAATCCCAATGAAGAGGGGCCAACATGAAGTTGTTTTTTGCTCATAGTCGTCGTTTCATTCACCATTAACATCCAGACACATGAAAATGTATAATTAATTGACAACCAAAAAAATTACATGCCACATTAATCATTCGGTGACCATCAGACACAGGAAGTGGTGGAAAAGTAGATCAGATGTTGGTAGAATTAATTGAAAACCAAAAAAAGAAAATACATGTCAAATTAATTATCCGGTGATTATGTCCCTGAAGCCGACTACTGCTAACAGTGGCAGTAACACTGAAAGAACACTTTTTTTTTTTTTTTGACAAAGTAAAAGAACACTTGTTGCGGGTAGCTTTCCCCTCTCGACGCTCGCGACTCCTAATTACAGCTCTTCTGTTGTGGGTAGTTTTCAGAGTACCAACGATGGATAAAGAGAATCAAAATCTTCATCATAAATAACATGTAATGTTGGAGTTTAGAACGTCCATGGTATATTCTTCCCAATAAACAACTTTAGAAATTCTCAATGAATGCAAACCACTTCTCAATGAATGCAAACCACTTCAACGCAAGCTACTTAAATCCAGGAATTCAAAGACTTATCGTCAATAAACTTCAGTCAATTGTTGTAAGCATTAAATATCATGTATGAATTGAAAATCTCCACGCACTAAACTGAGAGAGATAGAGGGCTAATGTAAGTCGACTTGACAACTCCTCCATTTGAGATATCCTTACAGCAAAGTGAAGAGTTCTGCAAGTCAAAACAAAATAGAAACAAAAGTAAAAGGATCACTTTCTATTCCAGTAAAAACTGAAATCTTTCAATTTTCTATCCCCACTCCATAAACGAAATCCCTGAATCCTACAAACTTCTTGAATCTCCAAACTTGAAATCCAATTGAATATGTTGTTCCCTGCTAAAACACAGAGAAACTATAAAACACCAACGTAAACCAATGGGAACCCAGCCAAACGTTGTAGAAAGAATGGAATCGAAGCTCAGAAATATAAATAAGAAAAGAAACCATAAACGATAATTTTTATTAGCAACTGTATATCTAGGTATGCTAATCAACATCATGCTTGACTTGGAAATCATATCTCACTTATCCACTCAACTTAAATATGAAACCCATAACAAAATTAGCCAAGACAGAGGAAACATCCAAGAAGGGTGGTTTATTTGAATGTAATGTAATTACTAATTAGTAAATAAGAATGAGACCCACATTCTGTAAACACTAAACCCATGGTTGCTCCATTGCAATATTGGAGATTTCAGTAGATATCTTTATCATCTACAATTTACTACATCATCTAGTCTAATAAATACACAGCCGTATCTAAATGCTCTGGAACTAACATATGACATCAAAACATGGTTTCTCATCCTTAATATTTTTTTATATATAATGATGACATTCTCATCCTTAATATCTTATATAAATAATGTGCAACGCAAATAGATAGAAAGAGTAAAACATGGTACCTAACAAACTTGTTCCTTTAGGTTAGGCAAGTAAGGTGTATTTAAACTACAATCGTACATCTTAAGCAACTCAATCATAACCGGCGGTAGGTTAGTATGAAATTGGATTTCGATTAAGTGTCCGGGCAAAGTAATAAACTATTTCCACCAACACACTAAAATTGCATATTCGGAAATTGATGACAGCATATCTTTATAGAGAATCACCATATATAACAGCAAATCTCAGTCCAACTCTTTCACGCGGCTATGAATGGATGGAGTAAAGGACCAAACTTCAACATAAGAAAGACTTTTATTAAATGCCAGAAATAGCACCAGAGGCAGAACCCAGATGGATTAATTGATCTTATCCAGCAAAAGAAGAAAGAAAACCAAACTTACATGGACAATGAAAATCCATGGTAGATTGAAACCACCCTGCCCATTCCAGAGGCTTACACAGGAAGAGGGAATTTCGGATGCTGGCGGCGGCTTCTTTGTGCTTTATCTCCGACGACGGCAATACGTGGGAGTTTAGGAATTTATTTGATATGTTAGAGATGATGTTGTTCTGGTTGCAAAGTGGCAAGGGCCCGTTAAAATAGCCAAAAATAGAAAACATAAAAGGCTTGCAGATGGGAGTAGTGTGGCCATACTTGAACCAAGACCAAGAGTGGACAAAACAATTAAGCTTAAGCCCCATCAAAATCCAATTGAAACGTATGTAATGTATGTACGTTACGTGAGAGGAAGTAAGAGATATTTACCTGCATGCGTTCAGTTTTCGAATGAATAAGATTGAGTATGACATTGGGGGCCTCCGAGCGCCTGTCTCCAATCTAACTACAATCACACCATAAACCTATCTGTTGGCCGGCATACTGAATTACAGCAAAAAGTAAAGGGGATAAGGAAATAGGGTCGGATATGGAGAACAGGGGAACGCAAAAGTGAAATACGGTAATTTCTGTAGTATTGGGAGTAGGAAATTCAATACTCCATACAACAGTCCAAAACCAATTATGTACCTAACCATTCGACATTTCAAAGGAAAAATTTGATAGCAAGCCGAACTGACGGCCCAATTACCGGATTGAAAGACTACTCCAGATGTGAACCCTGCTTGTCTTGATCGATCATCGTTGACACCTACAATTACAAAAGCGGTAATCCGGGTATTTATCTCAGTTGCCGCCGTCCGGATTGAAAGAGCAACAGAACCCTTCTGGGGAGAGGAGGCGAAAGATGTTTGTAAGGTCCAGTGTCAGCTCCTCCCTAAATGGTGTATTCTTCCAGCGTTGGATTTTAACCGATTATGTACCCTGCTTTTCTTCCCACTTAACCGCAACCTAAAATCGACTACTGCGGGGGAGTTTGGGCCCATAGCTGGGCGCCGGACTGGCCCATTCGGCCACCTGTAAGGTCCAGTGGAAGGTACTTGTGTTAAACGCACAACTTCACTTAATTGATAGTAAATTGACAGTATTGCCCCTCCGGGAAACCCTCTAAAGGCTGCAAATTCAAATCCCTGAAAAGTTAACCCTTGTTTTGGCTTCATATATCTTATAGATTACAAAAAGTATGCGCCAAATAATGGGTTGGTTTATTGCAATCCCGACATGTAAAAAGAAAAGTGATTTCTCCAATCCGCCTGGCTTCATCCCTGATCTCTTCGTACAACCCTTCAATCTCAAGATCGAAGCGCATTTCACGCGTCAATTTTTGAAGGAGCAAAAAGGAAATCCATCTCCACCTCTACCATCGAAGCTCTAGTCTTCCAACAATCTCCATTCCAAAGAGCACCGCCATGGCTTCGGCGATTTCCGACACCCACTGGATCAGGCATCGTCGAACCGCCGTTGCGCGAAAAGCTCCCTGGTGGTCCCTGATGACAACGCCCAAGCTCGTTCTGCTCCCAGTGAAGATTTATGCATCAACATTAACTTTCAGACATTCCAGCATCGGAGGTGACCAGGTCAATACGTGTCCCGTTCAATTAGAGTTTCCAGTCACATGCATAGATTTAGGGAGTTGCTAAAGGTCGCCCTTAAAATTGCTAAAGGTCGCCCTAAAAAGAATTAAAGTTACACTTTTAACCTCCTTAGCTTCTTTACCTTCCCTTCCTCAAACAAACATCACTTGGACTAAAAAAACACTATCT